TACAATGGCCGTCCATTTAGTCACTACAATGGCCGTCCAGTTAGTCACTACAATGACCGTCCATTTAGTCACTACAATGGCCGTCCATTTAGTCACTACAATGGCCATCCAGTTAGTGACTACAATGACCGTCTATTTAGTCACATCCAAAACGATCTGTGTAGTATGTGTCATGAACTTTTATTTTAATCATTACCATAACCGTCAATTCTAGTCACTATTTTAGCCGTCAGTTTAGTTACAACCATGACCATTAATTTAGTCACAACCATGATCATCTATTTAACCTGTATCATTACCGTCCATTTAGTCACTACCATGACCATCTATTTAACCTGTATCATGACCGTCTATTTAGTCACAACCATGACCATCTATTTAACCTGTATCATGACCGTCCATTTAGTCACAACCATGACCATCTATTTAACCTGTATCATGACCGTCCATTTAGTCACAACCATGACCATCTATTTAACCTGTATCATGACCGTCCATTTAGTCACAACCATGACCATCTATTTAACCTGTATCATGACCGTCCATTTAGTCACAACCATGACCATCTATTTAACCTGATCATGACCGTCCATTTAGTCACTACCATGACCATTTATTTAGCCTGTGTCATGACCGTCCATTTAGTCACTACGATGAAATGTACTCACCCGTCCACAAATCAACCACAGTGAACATGCACGAATGCCACATCAGACCACGACACTATAAGCCATGACGTCACTAACCGTAAATTCGAACACTGCCATCTGTCAGGACACTGCCAACTGTCAGGACACTGTCAAATGTCAGGACACTGACACCTGTCAGTACAGTGACACCTGTCATGACAACCGGCGTCCTATGTTAGACCATGTATACGTCCCGTCTATTGTTTTACTTTACCACATGTAAACATCGACCAGACAAGGAACAGGCCAATCTATTAATAGTTTTGTTTTTTAAACATTTATGTTTTTAAATATATTATTTTTTTATTAATTAGATTTTAGGAAATGTCGTATTTTGTTGAAGAAGGCAACACATAATATGAACATGAAAAAAGTAGGCAACATATAATATGAACATAATGAATAAGTAGGCAACATAGTATGAACATGATGAATTAGTGGGCAACACATTTTATGAACATTATGAATAATTAGACAACAAACATATAGTATGAATATGAAAGAAGTAGGCAACATATAGTATGAACATGAAAACAGTAGGCAACATATAGTATGAACATAAAAAAGTTGGCAACATATAGTATGAACATGAAAAAGTAGGCAACATATAGTGTGAACACGAAAAAAGTAGGCAACATATAGTATGAACATGAAAAAAGTAGACAACATATAGTTTGAACATGAAAAATGTAGGCAACATATAGTATGAACATAAAAATAGTAGGCAACATAAAATGAACACGAAAAAAGTAGGCAACATGTATGAACATGAAAAAGAAGACAAGATATATTATGAACATGAAAAAAGTAGGCAACATATAGTATAAATATGAAAAACGTAGACATCATATTATATGAATATGATGTATTTATATCGAAACCAGTACAGTGACTAAGACGTGTTTGTGTAATGAGTGGGCACATACAAATTATTCTTATACTGAAATGGCGGTTGATGCAGAGGGAGTTTTGACCTCGAATTCTTTACGTGCATCATCAACTCCGAACGAGATCCGAACTCGAGACCTACGGGTAAGTAGTCAAGCGCTACAACACCGGACCACGCCGCTCCGATGAAAAATACAGCAGAAATCTATAACAAAGTGGATGGACTTTGTTAAACTTCTCTAGAAGAAGATCACAGGATTCGCTTAACTTTTTGAACTAGTCTTAAACGAAGGCAAAAGCTTTTTTTAACTATTTTGAACTTGAACCGTAGCGAAACATTCAAAACGTTCTAATATTTTATTACGTGTTCGTATGTTTGTGTTGATGTGTCCGTGTCTAATTAGCGTTTATTAACGATTTCATGCCCTACGAAAGTAGATAGGTATTTCCGGCTAATTAATAATTAATAACCCATGTCTCTCGCTTCCATAGAAGGACCCGTGCTTCACTCGTGGGACTGGGGTCATAAAGGGGTCAATTCGATGTCTTGGACAATGTCATAATGACGGCCTAAGTCAGAGGCGTAGCGACCCTTCCCGGCGCCCGTGAACAAACTTTTCGATTTGCACCCCCCTCAAGATTTCGATTTGCAGCCCCCCCCCCCCTCAAACTTTCGATTTGCACCCCCCTCAACCTTTCAGGGGACATATGTCCCCCCCCCACCCCTCGCTACGCTACTGACCTAAGTTATGAATTGTGAATTGAGGTGCCGCTTACGTTATGATTCATTAGCGGTTGGTTATTTAATTAGCGTGTAAGTCACTTCACTAATGATTGTTTTAGGGATGTCTAAAAATAGATCAAGATAGGCATAATGACGACCTTAGTTATGAATTGTGAATTCAGGTGCCGCTTACGTTATGATTAATTAGCGGTTGGTTATTTAATTAGCGTGTAAGTCATGTCACTAATGATTGTCACTAAGGAATGTCTAAAAATAGATCAAGATAGGCGGTGTTGTCAAAACGCTATCATGAGTGTAATCATTACAGGCTGTGTTATTGTCTAGAATCTTCTTCTTCTTTGTTCTCAATGGCACTATTGGATGGGATCCCCTCCAATGCAATTAAGTGTTGCGTGAGTTCGTGGGATGGTGAGGTAGAGCATACGACAGCTAACACGAAAGTCTTGAGTTTGAATCCGGGTTCAAGACTTTAGCATGTCCCTGAGTCAACCCAACTCTGCGTGGTACTTGATCCTCATATGCCGAGGTCACAGAAACAGGTGAACTCTACTTCACTTGCACAATTGGACCACATCTCCAATAGGTGTTACGTGTTATGCGCAACATAGCCCGTTGACACCGATTTCAGCCTGCTTTTTTTTGGGTGTGCTTCAATAGTATTTGTCTATACTAGAACAATCTAGAATGCAGTTTTTTTATTATTAAGTTAACACGGCTGTCCCCAGTCTCATCTGTCCGGGTCCCCAGTTAGAGAGCCTCATCTGTCCGGGTCCCCAGTTAGAGAGCCTCAATTTTCCCGCCCGCCTACACCGTCCTAGACTGCTAACCCGATAGTTTCGAGTTCGAATCCGGGTTCAACTCAGTAAAATGTCCCTGAGTCCCCCCAACTCTGATGGATACCTGGCTCACGTTTGGGAATGTAAATGCTGTATCTTGACCTATGCACTATGCCCAGACGCCTTTACTTTCCCTAAAATGAGTTAGGTACCCATCAGGGCTGGGTGGAATCAGGGACATTTTACTGACTCGAACCCGGATTCGAACTCGAGACTTTATAGGTTGACATTCTAGCGATCAACCGCTAGACCAAGCCGTCCCATTACTACAACCCTAAATGCTACAAAAGTTCAGGCTATAAAAAGATGGGCTACAAACACATCTGCTACAAACAGGTGCTACAACAAAAATAGAGGAGCTACAAACAGAGTTGCTACAAACAAAGGTGCTACAAACAGAGGTGCTACAAACACAGGTGCTACAAACAGAGGTGCTACAAACAGAGGTGCTACAAACACAGGTGCTACAAACAGAGGTGCTACAAACAGAGGTGCTACAAACACAGGTGCTACAGACAGAGGTGCTACAAACAGGTGCTACAAACACAGGTGCTACAAACAGGTGCTACAACAAAAACAGAGGTGCTACATACAGAGGTGATACATACAGAGGTGCTACAGCAAAAACAGAGGTGCTACATACAGAGGTGCTACATACAGAGGTGCTACAAACAGAAGTGCTACAAACAGAGGTGCTACAGCAAAAACAGAGGTGCTACATACAGAGGTGCTACAACTATATGTACAATTGCTAAAGAAGTATGTATCGATGTTTCCAAATAGTTTCTTGTACCAGTGGATATTTGCGTTGATAAAAAATTGTTTGAAAAAAAAAATAATCAGGCTATTTTTTTCAATAGGAATTTTCGCACTTCTTCCGGTCATTTCTCGGGTGCCGGAAATAGCAACAAAGAAATATATAACTAACGGTGCTAGTTAAACCTAACGCAATCCTAACTACGGCAAAGGGAACTAACAAATGCAAGCAGTCATTGTGACTAAATTGTAGGACGATCTTATTCCTAGAGAGATTTAGGCGATTCGAGAAGATTCCTAAAGGGTGCGTAAAACAGATGCACGGAAGGGATTCCGAAATGGTGTGGCTACTAAGGAGTATGTCGTTGCAATTCCTAGAAGGCGCAAAGAGATTCCAAGAAAGTGCAAAGAGATTCCAAGAAAGTGCAAAGAGGGGAACATGGCGGACTAAAGCACGGTTTAGGGCAGGCTAAAAATAAATTGCGGCAAGTATTCTAGTTGACGAGACTGGAGCTCTTTATTATTTGTCCCGATGTTAGATGGCGTCTTGGCCATTACACCATTACACCATTACACAATTACTCAGAAGTGTTGAAGGCAGGATTTCTTTCAGACATGTTTCTCCAGGTCGCTCTTGAAAACGGCGGGGAGCGGACACTGGTTAAAATATATAGCTACTGTATTACTTTATTCGGTTTCTACCCCCACCCCACCCCCACCCCCCACCCCCAATAAATTTCAAGTCCCCCATCCCCGAAGTAAAACGTCTCAAAGAAACCCTACCTAACACTAGTCCTAACGCAAACTCGAATTCTTATCTTAACCGCACCATCCCCCCCCCCACCCCCAAGCCTCATGCTCCTTTGCAAGGACAGGGGGGTCTTATTAAAATTAAAATCGCATAAACAACCCCCCCCCCTCCTCGCATAGACGCTTTGGGGGAATTATCTTCGGCCTGATATTTTCTTAAGTCATGTAAGCCGTTTATCCAATTCAATACAACAAGCGCTCAAGCCAATGTTAAGAAAGGCAAGATTATTTTTTTCGTATCTAAAAATATCACTTTAAGCAAAGAATAATACAAACCTTAAATGACGTATCCAAATATATAAATCACTTTTTAAAAAGTCGGAATAGCAAATTATGAGCTTCCGTATTTTCACCGTCCATCAACGAAACAAATCTTTGACCAAACCGAAAAACAAAACAAAACTGTATCCTATGCCGTAGGTGTAAGTTATTTACAGTCAAATGTTCACGCTGTCCTCTTCGCTGATTGGCTGGCTGTTGTCACGTGGTGTTTACATGTAGAGGACAAGCTACGGTGACAGACGCATGTTGATATGTGAGACTGACATGCTAATGGTTGTTTACCTGTAAGTGTAAGAGTAGATGTAAGGGAATGTGTAAATGTAATGTGTAAGTGTAATGAGATATTTAAATGTAAGGTAATCTCAAAAGAGTTTGGGGTGAACAAAAGAATATTATGTAAGAATTTGGAAGTATATAGGTGTAAGGGAATACATAGGTGTAAGGGAATATGTAAGTGTATGAAATATGTCAGGCAGTGGCGTAGCGAGCTCGGATGTTACCCGGTGCGGCACTTAATGGTGTCGCCCCCCCAGAGGTGCAGGGGCCCAACCCGGGGGCAAACTTTCAATTTTCGATTTGCAACCCCCCTCAAACTTACAATTTGCACCCCTCCCCCCTCCCCCCTCAAACTTCCGGTTTGCACCCTCCCCCCCCCCTCAAACTTTCAATTTGCACCTCTTAAAACACTATTTAACACTCGAATTAATCACTTAATTAAGTGGAATTATCATTTTTCTCTATATATTTTGCTATTTTTTGCCTTGTGTCCCCCCTAAATGATGTCACCCGGTGCGGTCCACACCCCCTCCCCCCGCTCGCTACGCCTCTGGTGTCAGGGAATATAGAAGTGTAAAGGAATGAGTGTAAGGGACTGTGTAAGTGATAAGTAAATGGTAAGTGTAAGAGACTATGTAAGTGTATAAAAATGTGCAGGTTTAATATTATATGTAAGTAAAATGTAACAGAGGGGGATTATGTAAGTGTAAAGTAATATGTAAGCATAACATAATATGTAAATGTAAGGGACAATTTAAAATTAATGTAATATGTAAGTGTATGTGTAGCTTCAAGCACCTTCAGTACGCATGTAAAAAACTTAATTTGTTATGGTTTGTCCTTCTATGGCGTCACTAACATCAGGGTCGAAGAGGGGGGGTGTGTAAAACGTGTATGCAGTGGCGTAGCGAGGTCAGGTGTCACCCGGTGCGGCACTTAATGGTGTCACACCCCCCCCCCCCCCCCATAGGCGGCGTAGCGACTCTTCCCGGGGACAAACTTTCAATTTTCGATTTGCACCCCCCCCCCCCCTCAAATTTTTCTCTATATATTTTACTATTTTTTGCCTTGGTGTCACCCCCCTAAATGGTATTACCCGGTGCGGTCCGCACCCCCCCCCCCCCCCTATGTATGATGATGTCAAAGATGGGGAAGAGGGGAAGTTTTAAAAATGTAAAATCTCATCTATTATTTTTCATATTTTAAGAACGAAAACAACGAAAAACCTGTCACACTACGTGTTGTTTTTTTTTTTACTTTTCCTGACGGCTATTGACAATAGCTTTATATTTTTTTATGGACGAACTCTTTTACATATTGATAACAATCAGGCTTTTTAATTTTGCAAATGTTGACTGGTAATCCAGCTTATCGGCCAATCTTGATTTTTGTGGTAAAGGGGTTGGGGGGGGGGCTGTCTATAAATGACGCCACGCATTGTCTGCTCATATTTCACTCCATTTAACGATTTGTTTTAAGGGGGCATAACCAAGCTTGGTTTATTTAGCCGAAAGTATTAACATAGTAGTTTCCCTTTGCTTAGAAAGGAACTGAGGGATGTAGGCCTATAAGTATTCTTTGTTAATAATACAGACTGGTTACGAAGCCTAATTAAGCTGATTTATTATTTGGCCGAATAAACTACCATTCGCCATTTAATACTTTAAATTTTTTGAAAGTCCCGGTCAATAATAATTCAATATATCATTTGTGACCAATTTGCATAATAATTTACAAAACAGAAGAACTTGTGTGTGCCGTGTGTTTACCTTCAGTGTTTCTGTAGGTTATGTCCTACACATCCGCCCAAAAAAGTATCGTAACTGTTTGGCCTTAGTGGCGTGGCTACAAGGGCGACCGCCCTGGGCGCCGACGCTAAAGGGGGCGCCAAAAGGGGTAGAAAAATTAACTGAAAAGCTAATTATTAGCTGAGGTATTGAATTTATACACATTCATAGTTACGAAAATAATTAACGACTTCAAGGCATTGGGGTCATCCATAAATGACGTCACACTCGTAGGGGGGAGGGGGGTCCGTAATTTTGTGACGATGTGTGATGAGGGGGAGGGGGGGGGGGGGGTTCAGATGTTGCGACGTTACATTTTTGCATTATAAAAAAGTAATGTTAGAAAACGAATTTTAGACGTTATTTCGCGTTTTAGAGGGGGGTTGTGGATGACCACTTTTTTACACGCTGAGTTAAAAATTTTGTGACTCAAAAAAATAGAAAATGTTACGGGATAGTAACTGGTAAGAAGCGCCACAAACCTTTTCAACCTGGGGGGGGGTTTTCACAGACAGAAATAACTGTATTTAGAAGTGGGAGGGAGGGGGAGCAAAATTGATAGTCGGCCCCGGGCGCTGGAATAGGTTGCTTTGGCCTCTGTTTGGCCTCATTGATTCACCACCCGTTCAAAGTTGCTAATTTATGTTTGTATTGTATTTTTACTGCAATTTCTTCCAAAGTAGTTTCTAAAATATTTACCGGACTCATTTAACTTTAAGTAAGCCCACTTTGACCAATATTAATGTTAAATTTACAACTTCAGTAAGTCTTACAAAAGCACGAAATAACGCCACAAAACCTTATTTCAACTGTCGTGTGTTAGCGTTTTTAATAATTAGTTATGGTAAATAGAGGAATATCACATCCGGTTTCGTTTCTAAGTCATTCGGCTTGGTTAGAGTATGCCGAGTATGCCCTTGTCTTACATAACGAAAAACAGTGACAATCACTGAATATTGTCTTTTTATCTAGATCTAGGACTCGATTAAGTGGTAGACTACTTGATATAGAAACTAGATTTAGGTCCTAGGATTGTTAGGCCTAATAATATTTAGTTTATTTAGATAGGCCTAAAAATTATTTTAAGTATTTTTAATTTTTTAAGACTTGAGACAAGTCTCAGACTCGCTGAGTGTTGCCAGGCTGTTGGGGACTGTTGAGTGTAGATCTAGATCTAGTACTAGACTCTAGATCTAGAGATCTAGTAGTTGTTAGTGTAGTGTAAGTCTAGTTGTAGTAGTTGTACACACTTTTACCCGACTGTTCACTCACTGTCACACACAGTGTTTCTTCCAGACTTTTTTCTCCGGGGGGGGGGGGGGGGGCACTTGAAATCTTCGGGGGGCGGGGGGGGGGGGGGGGGGGGGGGCGGTAAACTTTTTTCGGGGGGGCGGACACTGTTAAAAGTATATATTTTCTATATAAATTATATAAATTTCATTTCGTTCGGGGGGGCGGTAAAAATTTTTTCGGGGGGGCTTTGCCCCCCCCCCCCCCCGAAGAGATGCCTGGAAGAAACTCTGGTCACACAGTGTCAATGCAGTACAGTAGTGTAGCATGCACAGTACAGTGTTACATGTACAGACAGTACTTACAGTCCTTTTATGTTTTGTTAGATCTTTCATAGAGTATTCCTAGTGATTCTAGATCTATCTCAAATGACAACAAATGTGATGTTATTTATCATGCTGTGTACAGTCACAGTGTGTACAGATTTAGAAGTATGAATTTACTGCCCAAAAATATTTTGTGACACTATTAGGCATTAGACTATTGATGCATGTGACCCAGAGGCGTAGCAACCCTTCCCGGCACCCAGGGAGAAACTTTCAATTTCCCTCCCCCCCCCCCCCCCCCCCCCCATTGCTATGCCTCTGATGTGTGAGCGATTTAGTACGTTAGCTCACCTCTGTATATGCTTGGAAAGAGGGAGGCTTGCTATGCAAATGTCCACGGAAATGAACTCCATAATGAATAACTTAATACATCAATAGTATTTTTAGTCCCTAATTCTATTAATTATTCATTAGCCTATATAATGGCATGTAAGCCTTTATGATACTGTCATATTCATATGTTATTAATATTTACCAACTTTTTAACCAATATTTCTAAATTTATCTTTTCAGGCTCTCAAGTATGGTATGATAATAAATTGAATATAGTAAAATAAACTGCTGTGAAGGAAAATGCATCTAGTTAGGTCTGAGATAAAAGTCTGAAACTTTTGCGTCATTACTAGTCTCAATCCAGCGTCACAATGTGGAACTTAATATTTGCTGTAGCCAGGAACTATGCACCTTACATCACACTGCCCATAGCTGCAGTTATAGGTGTCATTGGCTATAACTTGGAATGGACAATACGTAGTGAAAAAAATACACCTTTTAAGGCACAAAGTATACAAGAAGAAAGAAGTGAAAGGAAGTTGCGAGAGTTTGAGGAAGTTGATCCAACACATGTGGAATCCTTGAAGGCCAAGAAGGATATTCCAAAGACTATATTCATGAATCAGGCTAAATCATGAGCAGCACTACACTATAGTGGTTGATGTAGAGAAAATAATTTGAAATTGATGTTATACACTTTCTACTGTATAAGGATGAATTTAAATTTTAACGTATAATTTGCAAAGAATTATATTTCTAACTTTAATGAAATTTTTATTCTCAATTTTATACTCAGTTAATTAATGAATTTAAAATGTGTTTTTACACATGTTTTGGTTAAAGCATATCATGTATTACTTACTATATTGTAAAGGTTAAATCTTAATAAACTTAATTACTACTTTTTTTATAATTTAATGATTTTGGTGTTTGCTGATAAACCATAAATAGCAATACATGTAGTTATAACTAATAGCAGAATTTAAAAACTACCCCATAGCCTAGCAATAAAGTGGCCTTGACATAAAGGTCAGTGCAGCATTATTTTTTTTGGGGTTTCTGGCAAAGCAAGTTTGTGGGTACTACTAATTCATGAGAATAAATCTTATATTTAGCATTGAAAACAGTTTGAAAAATGATGTTGCTGTTGTTTAAATATATGGTTGATGAAGATGTGTTAGATATGAAAAAAGATGTGTGTAGTGATGAAGGATGAAACTGTGTTGGACTTGAAAAAAGATGTTTATTATGTGTGTTTGATATGAAAAAAATTATGTTTATTTTTTTTTTGTGTTGGTGTTTAAAAAAAAAGATGTTTATTATGTGTGTTTGTTATGAAAAAAGATAATGTTTATTTTTTATATTTATTATGAAAAAGTTGTTTATTTTTTGTGTTTGTTATGAAAAGATATGATTTTTATTTTGTGTGTTTGTTATGAAAAAAGATGTTTTATTTTGTGTGTTTATTATGAAAAAAGATGTTTTATTTTGTGGTTATTGAATTCATCTGAGCTATCATTTTAAGAATTACTGACATTACTTACTTACATTGTAATGAAATTATTTTATGAAAAAATATTAAAAATATATTTCAGTGTATCTGGCTTATTCATTACAAATTGTAAACCATTTGGAGGTTATTAATTTAATTTAATATGCTTTTGAAGAAATGAACATTTAGTTAATAACAGGTTTTTTTGCCTGTTATCAACACACAAGACATGGTATTTTTATCAAAGCAAAGTGACCTGAAATACATTATATTGCATTGAACCTATCATACTAACAACCTGTGCTGGTATATAGCCAGTCTATGTTAAGATACAATTTCAATTTTAGACATACATTTTGGTGGATAAAGATTTTGAACCATTAGGTTTTATAGGTTTTGTTTTACCAGGTTGCATTACATCTGGTGTTGTATTGCTGATTAGAGACAGTTTCTTCATTCACTTTATTAAATTCTTAGACTACCCAGCTGTCTGTTAATGCACATATTTTTAAAATTCCCAGTACCTTTCTTATTTTGAATAATCATTACTAGAAGTATCTATTTGCTATCTAATTGAAAAGCAAATCAAACTTAATTTTTAACATCATATAGCATATAAACTTTAGATTCAAACTTATATCATTTTAAATCTGTAAAGAAACACGCCTTATCACAAATATCACTTGAAATACAAGTGTTTTACACTTGATGAATTTCCTATACAAATAAAGTAGAATACATTCAATATTTTTAGATTTTTATTTCTTGTGCATACTGATGCCACTGACTCAAGATATTAGTAGTTAACTTTATATATAAACACTCCATGTACACCTAAATATTGTCTGTTCTTTAATTATGCTTGTGATTTAATAAATATAGGTTCATAAATTAATATTTTTTATCTTATAAACTAAATTGCAGTGTGACTATAGATTTAGCTTATGAAATAGTGTTAAGTTCTTAGGGTTCTGCTTGTGACTTAATAAATATAGGTTCATAAATTAAGCTTTTTTATTTTATAAACTTAATTGCCGTGTGCATATAGATTTAGCTTATGAAATAGTGTTAAGTTTATAGGGTTCTGCTTCTGACTCAATACACATATTCTGTGTAAGTGGAGTTCCAGTCCCTGAGAAAAACATCCACCAGCTGTTCCCTGACGTTGCTGCCATCCAAGACCCCATCGTCTGGTTCCTCCAGAGTGAAGCCGACGCCTCCTGTGTTGACGAAGTAGTCTCCGGACCAGTTGGAAGTACCTGGGAGGGGACAAAGGTCAGAGCTAATTAAAATGATGAAAGTTGTTTGGTTCAACTCAGGAAACGATTCGTGACAATCTTCAATACTTTTATTTGGACTCAATTCTTGACATTACAGAGTAGCCCTCGCCCTAACCGCGACCAACTAACCCCTTACAACCATTCACTCCAACTTTTATACCGCATTCGACCCTGGGATAACAATACATAAACACACCGGAGTTAACAATACTCTAGGGTAAACTCAACTCACACACGCACTCTCCCCTAATTCTAGATTATTCTAACCTATTTCTATCTAACCTACAGCTGACCCGTAACACAAGTGGTACTGGGCGTAGTTAGAGAAGAGACCATCCAGTTGCTAACTCCAGAGGTTCCAAGATCGGACCCCCTAGAAGACGAGGCTCGTTAGCTGGGAACAACAACCCATTTAGGAGTTAAAAACTCCAAAATCAGACAAAGACTGCCTTGTAGATTGTTCTTGGGTAGCAAATCCATAAAGAAAAAGATCCTAAAGTCGGAGTCCAAATGCCATGGCACATGATACTTAATTGTGTTGGAGGAAATCTCCAATATAACAATTAAGAACCAAGAAAAACTACACAGTAAGGGTTGGTGGAGTAGAGAAGGTGATAGTGATTTAGTTGACTTATTGAACATATCTCTTTAAAAAAAAACAAGAATTGATTAAGAGAATATTAGGGCCTTTAACTACTTTAGTCCATGCAGATATTTTTCATTGAAGTTATATCAACTTCAGTAGACAGGTATGTTTTTTACAGTAATATTACCTAGTGTAAGTAGATAAAGTAATAACTTGTATTACCTATGTAGGCATGGTTTTCAGTGACCATGAATTTGTTGTGGTTGACGCGTGCAAATGGGATTTGTTTCTGTTCAGGGGTGGAGGGTACAGTAAACAATTTCTGAAAAAAATTTGTAATGTCATTAATTGATCTGATATTTACATACACTACAGGCCTATAGTGTGTATATAGATAGATATATAGATAGATAGATAGATAGATAGATAGATAGATAGATAGATAGATAGATAGATAGATAGATAGATAGATAGATAGATAGATAGATAGATAGATAGATAGATTGATTGATTGATAGATAGATTGATATATTGATAGATTGATAGATAGATAGATAGATAGATAGATAGATAGATAGATAGATAGATAGATAGATAGATAGATAGATAGATAGATAGATAGATAGATAGATAGATAGATAGATAGATAGATAGATAGATAGATAGATAGATAGATAGATAGATAGATAGATAGATAGATAGATAGATAGATAGATAGATAGATAGATAGATAGATAGATAAATGTATAGACAGATAATGTACACATAAAGTATGCACAATCTGAAATTTTTAAAAGTGCACTATTTGAAATAATTGTTTTTTGAAAGTATTTCATATTGACAAAAAGGTTTTTTCTTTTTTTCAGTATTAACAGTCAACATCATCATTTCTAGCTGACTTAAAGTGAAGTCAATACTTGTGACCAGTGGCGTAGCGATGTCGGGTGTCACCCGGTGCGGCACTTAATGGTGTCACCACCCCAGAGGCGTAGCGACCCTTCCGAGAACAAACTTTCAACTTTCGATTTGCACCTTTTAAAATACTATTTAATGCTCAAATTAATCACTTAATTAAGTGGAATTAGCATTTTTCTCTATAAATTTGCCATTTTTTTGCCTTGGTGTCACCCCCCCTAAATGGTGTCACCCGGTCCGGTCCGCACCCCCCGCCCCTCCTCGCTACGCCTCTGCTTGTGACTTACCACCTGGATGTCTATTCTGTGAACTTTAGCCCTCTTCAAGTCGTAGAGTGACATGAGAAAGGCGTACATGTCCACTTTGGTGTGGGGCCATTTGCTGGCCATCAGGTACACAGAGACATGACGCTCGTAGGCCGCTTTCCTCAGCTCGTTGTCAATCACCGGCCAAAACCTGCAGTCAGGGAGAACAACATGCGTTACAATACCCCGTGCTTTTATCTGGCATCAGGTTGGGAGGGGGGGGGGGGGAAACTGCCATACACCCCCCCCCCCCACGGCTCCATCTTCTTTCAGGCAGACACTTCACGCCTCCCCCCCCCCCCAAATCACGTCCACCACCACCCTACCTTCCCCCCCCCCCCACTAACAGTTGAATTATTGTCCGTACTCTTCACCCCCCCCCCCCCATATCAAAGAAACCAGTCTTCTTTAGGAATCTCGGGGTGGGGGTAGAACTTCTCTCATGGAGCAAGTCCTTTCTGGACTTAATAGATAAGTATTATATTAGGCCTATATATAGAAACATTATATATTCCCCCCCCCCCTTCTGGAAATATTAAGTGACTCCCTATATTGGAGCTGGAGAAAAAGTCAGAACGAAACCCTGGTTGCAACTTTTTAGATCCAAACATTTGAGATAAGTGCATTGCTAAGTATTGCCACATTCCCAATATTACAAAGACGTTTATAAATAGCTACGATGAAAGTGCAGGCACCAATAATTGACAATATCAATGACTTTTTTACTTAGCCCCCCCCCCCCCCTCCAAGAAAAATGCTACCTGTTGCCTAGGCAACGCGGATTCTTTGAGTTCTTACCCCGAGGAACGCGCATGTCCATTATTATAGGACACAGGCATTGTTATTTGGTGTCAGGGTTAAGGTTTGCGTAGTACCAACTGAATAAAATATTAATTGAGTTGTTTCCCTTTAACAAGAGGGATAACTGCTAGGAAAGTAGATTTGGTTTTCGCTTTTCAAAGTTCCCTAATCTCTATCTAGTAATGAACGTTTTATTAGCCCTGTGCCAAGATTTGAACCATTACTCAATTTTTGGATCTTGTCCAGCGAAGTCTTGTCAAAAAGTTATTCCCGCCAGAGTTTCTTCCAGGCACCTCTGGGGGGGGGGGGGGTGTTACCACCCTCCCCCCGAAGATAGTCTACCGCCCACCCCCCTCCCGAACAAAATGGAATTTATATAGAAAACTTATACTTTTACCAGTGTCCGCCTGCCCGTAAATTGTCCGCCAATCCCCCAAAAACATCAAGTGCCCCCCCCCCCCCCCGCGGAGAAAAAAAGTCTCGAAGAAACACTTTTCCCCGCCACCCAAAAAAAAAAAGTTACAAAAAAAGAGGATAAGTAGGCTATTACATTGAATCAGGCCAAAAATGGCGGGGCTATATTTTAGGCCCGTGCACTGTGGCACTGGACCAAATGCGATTTTTTTTTTCAATTTTTTTGTAAACTCTAAAATATATCTTTTAAAAAGCGAAGTGAATGCCAATAATTCAGTCCAATGTTCCCTCTAAGCTGCGCAGTCATTTTGAAAAAAATACACAAGGGGTCATCCATAAATGACGTCACGGGGGTGCGTAATTTTGTGACGATGTGTGATGAGGGGGAGGGGGGGGGGGGGAGGTTCAGATGTTGCGACGTCACACTTTTAGGTTGTAGGTTGAGGTGTGACGTGATTTTAGGGGTCTACAAATGTAGACCATGTATTATTTTATACATTTAAAATAAAACCGCCATAAATTTTAAAACTGAAGAAACTGAGCTATACATTTATAAATCAAATATAAACCAACTGTTCTGGTCTTGTATAAATGACCAAGGGCAGGTAATCCATAACTGAGATGTAGATAAATTTATTGGCTGCCTGGATCACATGAATGATGGCGTCAATATCCTGCAGGCGACCGCTTGGACAAAATGGTGGAGGGGAACTCTGAAAAAAATTTACAAAGTTTATGAAAATTATGAAGGCTCGCATCCTAAATAATGCCATATCTTCTTAAATATCAGGGTTTTGTGTCTTTTACCTTAAAGAAAATAAAATAGTTAGTAAGCTTTATATTAAAAATCGATTGGAGATAAGGTGTAGTCCAAAAATGTCGAAAATGATGTCATAATCCTAAGAGGCAGAGCTTCTTCTAGTCATCTCCTCGAGGGGCAGAGGCCCCCCCCCCCCCCCCAAATGAAAGTCTCCCCCCCCCCCCCCGTACGAAATGCGAAATTGAATTTATATAGAAAATATATACTTTTAACAGTGTCCGTCGCCTCCTCCCCCCCCCCCCCCCGAAGACAACAGACTGGAAGAAACAATGTTAGGGGAGAGGGACTAGAAAGTGACGATAAAACTTTACATACTTTTTTTTAATTCAGAAATTTAATTTTAGCACTATTTTGAAAAGACTCTAAAATTGAACGAGTCAGATTGATATTTTAGAAAGTAATAGTTTTTTTTTTAAAGTAGCAATTTTTGAGGAATTAGTAGAAGCTATTTAAATAGGAGAGGTTTTTTTTGGCTGTTGTTTTAATGGTGGGGTTGGGGGGGGGGGGGGGGAGTTTAAAAGGCAAGGGGGAAGATGGGTTTATCAGGCTGTAGTAAAATGGGGGGGGGGAGCACAGATATTTAGGAATCCTAAAAAATGCCTCAAGTAACAAGTGCCCGCGTGTCGCGTGTCCTGCACATGTAACAACTGAGTTTAAATCACCTCACAATTTAGAATACGAGTGTATTGTCATCTATGTCAGAGGCGTAGCGACCCTTCCCGGCGCCGGGGACATACTTCCAATTTGGCGCCCCCTCGAGAGCAAATTTTTCGATTTGCACCCCCCCCCTCGAACTTTTCATTTGCACCCCCCCCCCCTCAAACTTTCAATTTGGCGCCCCCTAAGGTCGGCGCCCGGGGACATATGTCCCCCCCCCCCGCCCCCCCCCTCGCTACGCTACTGATCTATGTACAACCCCTTTCACTCTGATTATTAAAAAAAACTAATTACGAAATTAAAAACACCAATTACTGATAATGCCACTCGTCCTTGGGTCTCATTGTAGTAGACAAGTGGCATGGGAGACTGGTAGGTGGTTTCAGGAGTCAAATCGTCAGGCAGTTGAGCAGGAACTGTTGGTATTGTTTCGTTACTCAGGTACCAATATATCTGTGTAGATATAGTTTTTAACAGCATAACATTAACAACAACTTAGGTTAGTTTATAGTTGTAATTATTGATTGAAAGGCTGCCCGCCTCAGAACTAATCAGAGAGGAAGGGAATTGAGGTGGATGGCGAAGAATTATGAAGTCAGATATAGTGCCCCAACGACCAAAATAAGGGTTAAACGATGATGAAGATGAATTATTGATTATTTTCGTCGTTGAAGGTGTGGTCAGTACTTTGCCCAGCCGCCTTAACCCTTATAAGATGAATTATTGATTCATCATCACGCTTAACTCTTATTTTGGTCGTTAGAGGGAAGGTGTGGTCAGCACTTTGCCCATCCGCCTTAATCCTTACAAGATGAATTACTGATTAGCATGGCCTATATGTTGAGAGCTAGACTGCTAACTTCCTGATGGGTACCCAACTTACGTTAGGGGGAAAAAATGCGGCTGGGCATAGTGCTGACCACACCACACTATTCCTTCATAAGCCGATGTCTCTGAAGCAGATGAACTCTACTTCATTTGCTCCAGAGGCGTAGCGACCCTTCCCGGCGCCCGGGGACAAACTTTTCGATTGCACCCCCCCTCGAGATTTTGATTTGCACCCCCCCCCCCTCAAACTTTCGATTTGCACCCCCCTCAACCTTTCTATTTACTTTTTCCAACCCATTTTGGCGCCCCCTAAGGTCGGCGCCCGGGGACATATGTCCCCCCCCCCCCTCGCTACGCTACTGATTTGCCCTTGTGTCTTGGGAACGAACGGGGAAAAGATGACGAAATAATAGGCTTATTGTGATATGGGCCGATAAATCGAAAAACAAAACCATCCAATGTTTTAACAAATCCAAATTATTAAAAGCTTTTGTATTAAAAGGGGGACAGCGTAGTCGGGCTGGAGGGAGCATGAATGCCAACTCCAAACGTCCCGAGTTCGAGCCCTCGAGCAAATAAGGCTCGTTAGCTGGGCATAACAATTACATTGAGAAGATAAAACCCCAAAATTGATTAATTGCTGCTTTGTAGATTGTTTTGGGTTGAGCAAAAGCCATGGAAGCGAATCTAGAAAGAATAGCAGGCCATATGCTGCATAACATGTTGCCACGTAATACTTTATTGTATTGGAGGAAATCCCCTTTAACATCGGAGTTAAGAACGAAGAAGAAAAGAATAATAAGTATTAGACTATTCAGATAGATATAGGGCTGGTATGGCTCATGCAGGTTTTATTGAGCCGTAGAACTGATTGGTGACCTACTTACCAGCCCTATAGTGGCCTATAGGTATTCTACACACTTACATCAAAAATATTTTTCGCATCTTTAACTAATGTTGGGCAGTTTTCAATCAGGATGCCGATCTCTTTCACCTGGTGGTACAAAAGTGGGGAAAATATTTTATTTCTGTAAATAGTTGTAAGAAAATATTTTACTTCTGTAAAAGGTTGTGAAAAAAATAGTTTAAAAAAAAAAACAGATCTTAAAATAATGACTAAACGAAAATGAAATATTATGTTGCTGCCGTACTTGTGTGTAGGAGCGCCAATCAAAGTTGGCGCTACCGATGTAGGCATGTTGGTCATCGACGATCCACATTTTCGTATGCAGCACTCCCGCGTTTAGAAGTTTAGGAAAGTTTATTGTTCTGACACGTGCCCCGCCTGAAATAAAAAGTATAAAAATGCATACCATGCGAAAACGTATAGTATAATAATCAGTGGCGTAGCTAGGATTTTTGGGCCCCTATGCAAAAAGTGTTACTGGACCCCTCAGAGGCGTAGCGACCCTTCCCGGCGACCGGGGACAAACTACCGATTTGCACCTCCCTCCCCCCTCAGACTTTCGATTTGCACCCCCCTCCCCCCTCAGACTTTTGATTTGCACCCCCACCCCTCAAACTTTCGAAAAAGGGCCTCTATTTGCCTTGGGCCCCTATGCCATGCTTACGCTAGCTTTCGGTTTTCGACCTTACTACATGTCGGCCGTATGTCTTTGTCGGCCTTGTATCCAGTCGGCTTTTTGAAATGTCAGCCTTATGACCAATCGGCGTTACATCCTTATCGTGCATATGTCCCATCGTTTTCGAGATGGCTGTGTTTTCTATTGTCAACCTTATAATATATCGACCTTTTCTACGGATCCCATTTCAATGATACCAATGTTTATATCTTAAGATAGAGGTGTTTGGGTTCGAACCAGAGTTTCTTCCAGGCATCTCTTCGCCCCCCCCCCCCTCCCCCCCTTCCGAAATTTTTTTACCGCCCCCTCCCCCCCCCCCGAACGAAATGAAAGTTATATATTTATATATAGAAAATATATACTTTTAACAGTGTCCGCCCCCCCCCCCCCAAAGAAAGTCTACCCCCCCCCCCGGAAAAAAAGTCTGGAAGAAACACTGGTTCGAACACCACAAGACAGAACCTTCTGACACCCCTATCTACTATACCACCAGTCCCTTCAATACTGCTAGAATACGAGGGTTGTAGCATAAAATTGAGGGAAGATTAATTTACTGGCAGCCAGTTCGTCTGTCTCGTTGCTGGTACTGTTCTGTACAATGTTCACGTCCATCTCGCCACCTTTCACAATGTCCGACAGTTTTTGGAAAATGTCTTCCCCCTGTAGATAGAAGTAAGTTTCAACTACTATTACAAAAACTATGCTATTATGTGGTTCTAAACCAGACCAACAGACATTTCCCTGAATTTTTTTAAAGGAGTAAAACTTAAACTATTATGGATATAATTTGACTAGTGTTTCTATCAGACTTTTTTCTCTTGTAGGCGGGGGGGGGGGGGGGGGGGGGGTTGACACTTGAAACTTCCAGTTGGGAGAGGCTAGGCACTGGTTAAAGTATATATTTTATAGGTAAATAACATATTTTTTAATTTTTCTCAAGGGGGCATTGGACGTGATGGGAGAGGGAGGAGGGTAAAGTAAAGAATCCTCAATAGACCTAGCGATCCTTTGGGCAGATGAAGTAGAGTTCATATGTTTCTTGACCTCGGCATATGAAATGAAGGTGTGGTCAGCACTCTGCCCAGCCGCCTTTACTTTCCCTAACATGAGTTAGGTACTCATCAGAGCTGGGTAGACTCAGTGACGCTATACTGACTTATAACCGGATTCGAACTCGAAACTTTCGGGTTTGCAGCCTAGCGCTCTTCAGCTCAGTCCACTCCGTGTGTGTGTGGGGGGGGGGGCATAATGCCAAATAGATGCCTGAAAGAAACTCTGGTCTTGAGGCAAGAATTAACATTGAGGTAAAAAGTTGACCTGAACAGAGCTGTAGTCGTGGACTTCCGTATCCGAGCCCCTCAGAGTCCAGTAGAAAGATGCAAGATGGATGCTACTGTTGGCCCTGTCCAGTAGCCTCATGTGGGCGTCATATGTGGACATGAGCCGTCTGTCGTTGGCGGAGTACGTCATGTTCTCTGGGATGCTTTCTACCAGCGTGAATCTGTGCAAAGGGGTCATCCATAAATGACGTCACGCTTTTTTTGGACGATTCTTACCTCCCCTCCTCCCCGCCGTCACACATCGTCACAAAAAGCCAGACCCCCCCCCAGAGGCGTAGCGACCCTTCCCGGCGCCCGGGGACAAACTTTCGATTTGCATCCCCCCCTCGAACTTTTCATTTGCACCCCCTTAAACTTTCGATTTGCACCCCCCTCCCCCTCGAACTTTTCATTTGCACCCCCCTCAAACTTTCAATTTGGCGACCCCCCTAAGGTCGGTGCCCGGGGACATATTCCCCCCCCCCCCCCCACCTCGCTACGCCTCTGCCCCCCCCCTAAAATGCCGTCACACCTCAGCTTACAACTCCTCTCAAAATTGCAGTTGAATTTTTTTTTTAAATATCAATATTTTTCCAAAATCTTGTCTGAACTCTGTCAACATAGAGTATTTTAATCAATTCCTATTACAGTTTATTATAATAGGCGAAATAACGTCTAAAATTAGTTTTCTAACATTGTTTTTTTAATAATGCAAAAGTGTGACGTCGCACCATCTGAACCCCCCCCCCCTACAAAATTACGGCCCCCCCCCCTTCCTGTGAGTGTGACGTCGTTTATAGACGACCCTACAGAGTTGCAGAGCTCGGAACTAAAACTGCTGGAAATGTACTAGTGTTTCTTTCAGACATTATTCTCATACCTATTTATTCAGTGAAATGTCTTTTACTGCATAAAAGCTTGTAAAAAAAACCATTTTTATTGAATTTTCATGAATTTAAGAATCCGACATCAAAATGTGTATGATTTATTCTAAGTTCAATACTTACATACATGGCGGATTCGTTGGCTCCTCGCCTGACCCAATATGGTGGATCTGTGAGACGGCCAATGCAACAAACAGACACAAACAACAAACTACTGTTTGTGAAAACACAGTAGCTGCTCTAAAAGCCATTTACTACAAATTATTTTCCAGATAGTTTTTCTACAAAATGACTATTTTGTAAGTGCTAAATAGTGATTACAACAGAATTGTTTAGTTGACTGAAAAAAAAGAGAGGTTAGTTTTCAAAACTTCGTTTAAATAGGGCACCTGTAGCTGTTATCTCACTTATGACACTATGTAAACAATTTTATTCGCACCGTTTGTATTTATTATTGTATAACCATGGATACAAAGAATAAGTTCGCATTGTTACTAAAAAATCCTCTTACCTCCCTTTAGTTGAGTACTTTGACCTTTATCTCAAATACTACTTTACAAGTCTAAGTACCATAAGGCCATTACAGATAAAGAAATGTTCTTCTAAGACTGGACTTCAAGCTGTCCTATGTAAAGTGCTAGGTAAATTCTTTGAGAGTTAACTTAAGCATATGTAATCTGTATGATTATAAACTTTTTGTTGTATTAGGATTATCTTTACTGTATTAGACACATTGTAGCTAGTGATAGCCTATCATGCACCATTTTTGTTTCAGAAACAGTAGTTATTAAAATTAGTGATAGCCTACCATATATAAAGTAGGGCTATATACACATTATACAGTCATAGTAGTGTTTTATCAAGTGTGTAAGAAATGTTACTAAAACATGTTTAATAACTATAAAAGTTGCCTATAACAAGGCATTTAATATCCTTTACAGACAATGTAAATCAGTCAATGTAAATGTCAGATGTTTACTCAAATCATATCATAAGGTTAAATTAAATCTTAAGTTTTGGCAAAACTATTTAAAATAATGTTTTCAAATAAGTTATCAAATATAAAAGGGGAAACACTTATCTTTAAATATGTAGTGTTAAATTATAACACTTTGTTAATCTAAGTTAATTTAATAGCATTCATTTCTATTTTAAATGAAAATATTCCAATCTATAAGAAAAACCTGAACCTCTGTCTAACTAAGCCCCTACTCTATTTTTAAACAATTTTTAAAAAGGATAGAACATCAAATGTAATGATGTAAAACATTGAAAAATATGTTATTTTGTAAAAATCCAATATAGACTAGTAGTAATAACAAAACCATTGTAAATTTTTTTTTTTATTATGAACATAGCAAAAACATGCATGAATTATGTGCAAGCTTAACAAATTTTGATTTGAAATCAACACTCAAGCCACTAGCACATGATATGATACACATAATGCTGTTCATTACAGATCTGGTAACCAGAGTTTCTAAAAGCCCCCCAGAAAATTTTTTACTGCCCCCCCCCCCCCCCCCGAACGGAATGAAATTTATATAATTTATATAGAAAATATATACTTTTAACAGTGTCCGCCCCCCCCCCCCCCGAAGAAAGTTTACCGCCCCCCCCCCCCCCCCCCCCCCCCCGGGAGAAAAAAGTCTGGAAGAAACACTGCTGGTAACACAATGCAGAAATGATTAGAGTGAAAAGTCATTTTATTATAATGACAGACTGAAATAGAAAGACTTTAAGACTAGAGACAGAACTAATGTGAGGATTGTTTTGTTAATGACAGATATCATAGAGTATACCCTGATTGTCAAAAGTTTCCTATAACATCTAAATCAAATTGATAATATAGATGACTAAATCCAGTTTGTCTTTTTTCTTTGGCTAAGTCATACAAGGTAAAGTGTGACCAAATTGTCTTTGAACAATAACAAGTGAATAGAGTAGCTGCCCTTGGAAAGTGGAAGTTAAACATGTGAATCACAAAAAGGAATTCAATAAAATGAAAAACAGACGGGTTTACAAGTTAGAAATTATTCAGGTGTACTGTGGAGATTAAAGTCGTTACAATCTTAATTAATTATGCCAATTACACCTCAGTAGTAAACCTTCATAGTTTGGAACTTTTATCCAATAGGATTATAGGCCTTTATAAAAAATAAATAGACTAGATCAGCCTATTTATATAAACTTCATAAATCTGTCCATTCGTAGTTAACCAAAGACAGGCTTGGTATAGTTGGACTGCCAATCTCTGACGAACACATCTTGTAACTGTTGCCTCAAGCTGCCGGGGGTTCCAGAACAATCTTCATCCTTCAGGACAAAAGCCACACCCCCTGTGTACTTGAAGTAGTCACCTGACCAGTTGGATGTACCTGAGAGAAGTAAAAAGTGAAAAAAAAATATCTGATGAAAATGACTACATGGCAAATATCTCATAACAGGAGGTCTTTTTTTCTGTCACCTTTAAAGCATTTGCTTTCTTATATCTATGCTTACTGGAATATATATATATATATATATATATATATATATATATATATATATATATATATATATATATATATATATATATATATATATATATATATACATATATATATACATATATATATATATATATATATATATATATATATATATACAAATCCTAATTTAGTAATTTAAACAATTTCATTGCAAAGTATATTGTCAGCCAACAACCCACACATATTTTGGGCCTGAAGTAATTGAGTTTTAAACAAATAAAAAAAAATATATATTTATATATAATATATATATATATATATATATATATATATATATATATATATATATATATATATATATTATATATAAATATATATATATATATATATAAGTGGTAATTAAGTATTTTTGTTTAAATTAAAAGATTTCAATTTAATTTATATACCTATCTAATATAATGGCAACATTATTATTTATGGGCACCTACACTTTTTAAAAATATTTTTTTATATCTACCCTGAAATTGAAAATAAATCCAACCTACCAATGTATGCATGCTTGTCTGTGACCATGTATTTACTGTGGCTGACCCGAGCAAAAGGAATTTGTTCCTGAATGTCTGTGTAAGCAGGTACAGTGAATAGTTTCTGGAAATGTAAAAAAACATTTCTAAATTTAAGTGTTCATTTTTAATTAGGGTGCATTAGCATGGCAGCTTTCGTCATTGATAGATTCAAGTGAGAGATTATGATTTGATAGATTAATAAGTTAAAAAAAGGGTTTATACACAGAGAAATATTAGTAATATTTACTGTTCAAGTGTTATATAGATCAGTAAAAATACATGTTGTAATCTCTTAAGAAATATAAGGCAACAACTGCACTCCACTGGTTAAAAAATTTACAACTAATATTGTAAATTGATTTTGTCGAAGTCTCTAAAAGCATACAGATATTTGAAAAACATAAACAGCTTCTTTGTAAATGTATGTATAGACAAGGATTACAAACAACATATAGTTCTACGTAGTTCTTTGAGTAAGTCTGTATGGGATCATATATCACATAGACTTTTGTGGTGGGTTAGTATTGGAATACAAACCATATATAGTTTTACATTAAAATTCTTTGCATGTATGAGTATAGACAGGAATTAAATACGACATATAGGTTGTTTGTGTGGGTTAATATGGGAATACAAGCCACATATAGTTTTACGTTAAGATTCTATGCATGGATGAATATAGATAGCGATTACATACCACGTATAGTTTTGTGAAGGTTGTTTGTGTGGGTCAGTATAGACATGGATTACGTACCACATATAGTTTTATGTTAAGGTTCTTTGTGTGGGTCAAAATGGGCATGGTGGATTACGTACCATGTATATTTTTATGTTAAGATTCTTTGTGGGGGTCAGTATAGACATGGATTACGTACCACGTATAGTTTTACGTGAAGATTCTTTGCTTGGGTCAGTATAGATATGGATTACGTACCACGTATAGTTTTATGTTAAGATTCCTTGCGTGGCTCAAAATGGACAAGGATGACAGAAACGTGTACATCTCTGGGCTGGTGTGTCTCCAGTGGCTGGCCAATAGACGAACTTCGACCTTTCTGTCAATGGCAGCTCTCTTCAGCTCATTGTCTATCACAGGCCAGTAGCTAAAGTGTAAAAACAATAAATCAGTGATACGAAACAAACTTTTAGTTTAAAATGTAAAAACAATACAGTAGTGATATGAAACAAACTTTTAGTTTAAAATGTAAAAACAATACAGTAATGATATGAAACAATCTTTTAGTTCTAAGTCTAAAAACATTACAATAGTAATATGAAACAATCTTTTAGTTTATAGTTTTTGAAGTGTACATTTATTAGTAAAAAAAACCTAGAACCATTTCAGTCTTTCAAGTTATTTCATCTACTCTTGATCCAAACCAGTGGTTCTTAACCTGGGTTCGATTGAACCCTGGGGGTTCGGTGAGTCAGTCTCAGGGGTTTGGCAGAGGTCAAGACACACACCTAACTCATACGATCGGACTTTTGTCATCACGGACGATAAAACTATTATGAAGGGTTCGGAGAATGGGTATATGAAACTTGTGGGGTTTAGTACATCCAAAATGGTAAAGAACCACAGATCTAGATTGTAATTAAGTATGAATTGTAAATTTTAATCTCACTTTCCATAATTTTAATAATGGACCATAAAAAATATGGTTGCTCATTGTTACGATCAACCTTTCATCCAACAAACATGTTTATAGGCAATTTTCAACCTTTATTGTGCTTGTCCTCTTTATCTTTACACAACACGCCCTCTAGCCTAGCGGCTACCAACTAACCCAGTTAACAATCATTCACTCCAGCTTTTATACCCGCATTCAACCTTGGGATAACAATACAAAAACACACCAGGGTTAACAACACAGTAGGGTAAAATCAACTCACACACGCACTCTCCCCTCAGTTCTAGACTATTTCTATCTAACCTACAAAATACCTGTAACACTCATAAATGAATTTACAACTATCTTTAATATGATATAAATAAAAACAATTAGGCGCTTTGTTAAAAATAAACTTACATTTCTGGGTTTAAATAGACAAACAAAGGTAGGTAATCCATGACAGAAATATAAATAAACTTCTTAGCAGATCTGATGACATTGATGATGCCGTCAATGTCATATGTGCGGCCTACTGGGCAAAATGGTGGTGGTGAGCTCTGAGAAAAAAGAACATGGTTAATTAAGCCAATTAATTATTGTGTAAGACTTGAAAATGTACAATTTCTTGAATAGAGCAAAAAAAAAAAAAGCTAATCAGGTTATTCATAAATTGAAAACAAGAAATTTTAAGTAGTGTTACCACATCTTAATGTTATTAAAATTTAACGTAATGTATAATAAAAATAGTAAGTAGTAATTAAAGTTTCCTTTTTGAACCTGAAGGTCCATGGACTTCTACATATGAAGGGATAGTGTGGTCAGCATTATGCCCAGCCTCCTTTGCTTTCCCTAACGTGAGTCAGGAACCCATCGTAGCTAGGTTGACTCAGAAATGTTCAACTGCCTTCAACCCAGATTCAAAACTCGAGGCTTTTAGGTTAGCAGTCTAGCACTCTCCTGCTAGGCCGCACCATCCCTTGTATAATACCAATAGTTGTTTGAAAAGTTAACATAATTAATGTTAAGTTTTATGATAAAAAGCTGTTTAATGTAAAATTTAGAATTTATTTAGAACTTACGGTGATATAGACGCCACCTTTGCTTGAATTATAGTTGACCTCCAGCGGGGTCGTCATGTTGATTTTGGTCAAAAAATTATCTGGCCAAGGGTAGGGAATCACTTTAAGTGTTCCCAGCATCCAGTAAACCTGAGGTAGAAATTTGTTTTAAGTTTAGATCAGTTTAGGTGTTCCCAGCATCCAGTAGACCTGAGATAGAAATTTGTTAAAGTTTAGATCAGTTTAGGTGTTCCCAGCATCCAGTACACCTGAGGTAGAAGTTTGTTTTAAGTTTAGATCAGTTTAGGTGTTCCCAGCATCCAGTAGACCTGAGGTAGAAGTTTGTTTTAAGTTTAGATCAGTTTAGGTGTTCCCAGCATCCAGTACACCTGTGGTAGAAATTTGTTTTAAGTTTAGATCAGTTTAGGTGTTCCCAGCATCCAGTACACCTGAGGTAGAAATTTGTTTTAAGTTTAGATCAGTTTAGGTGTTCCCAGCATCCAGTAGACCTGAGGTAGAAATTTGTTTTAAGTTTAGATCAGTTTAGGTGTTCCCAGCATCCAGTACACCTGAGGTAGAAATTTGTTTTAAGTTTAGATCAGTTTAGGTGTTCCCAGCATCCAGTACACCTGAGGTAGAAGTTTTAAGTTTAGATCAGTTTAGGTGTTCCCAGCATCCAGTACACCTGAGGTAGAAGTTTTAAGTTTAGATCAGTTTAGGTGTTCCCAGCATCCAGTACACCTGAGGTAGAAATTTGTTTTAAGTTTAGATCAGCTTAGGTGTTCCCAGCATCCAGTACACCTGAGATAGAAATTTGTTAAAGTTTAGATCAGTTTAGGTGTTCCCAGCATCCAGTACACCTGAGGTAGAAATTTGTTTTAAGTTTAGATCAGTTTAGGTGTTCCCAGCATCCAGTACACCTGAGGTAGAAGTTTTAAGTTTAGATCAGTTTAGGTGTTCCCAGCATCCAGTACACCTGAGGTAGAAGTTTTAAGTTTAGATCAGTTTAGGTGTTCCCAGCATCCAGTACACCTGAGGTAGAAATTTGTTTTAAGTTTAGATCAGCTTAGGTGTTCCCAGCATCCAGTACACCTGAGATAGGAATTTGTTAAAGTTTAGATCAGTTTAGGTGTTCCCAGCATCCAGTACACCTGAGGTAGAAATTTGTTTTAAGTTTAGATCAGTTTAGGTGTTCCCAGCATCCAGTACACCTGAGGTAGAAGTTTTAAGTTTAGATCAGTTTAGGTGTTCCCAGCATCCAGTACACCTGAGGTAGAAGTTTGTTTTAAGTTTAGATCAGTTTAGGTGTTCCCAGCATCCAGTACACCTGAGGTAGAAATTTGTTTTAAGTTTAGATCAGTTTAGGTGTTCCCAGCATCCAGTACACCTGAGGTAGAAATTTGTTTTAAGTTTAGATCAGTTTAGGTGTTCCCAGCATCCAGTACACCTGAGGTAGAAATTTGTTTTAAGTTTAGATCAGTTTAGGTGTTCCCAGCATCCAGTACACCTGAGGTAGAAATTTGTTTTAAGTTTAGATTTTTTTAAAAATCATAGTTGGTCCTGTAAAAATTAAAACATGGCTGTTCATGGAACAGGTGAAGTAGAGTTCTATGCTCGGCCAGCTTTACTTTCCCTAATGTGAGTCAGGTATCTATCAGTGCTGGTTAGACTCAGGCCTGGGGTCGAACTCAAGAGTTTCAGGTTAACACTCATGTGCTCTACTACCAGACCACTGTCCAATAAGGTGATCTTTTTTTTTTTAGAAAGACAGTTATTAATAAACCGGGAGTGATCTCCCCTAAACTTTCTCGAATATTCTTATATAACTTGAAATATAGACATGATTTTTAATTACTTAAACTTTTAAAAATAGAATAGAATCTCATAGAAAAAAGAATTGCGCACCAAGCAAACGCCAAAACAAAATGTGCATAATAGTGCGCAATATTATTAGTACTTTATAAATTTACATGCCTTTTTTGAGAAATCGAAAATTAGTACTTCCGGTCAACGGAAATTACTCAAAATTAGATCTTTTACTAACATGTGAAATTTCATTTATCTATCTGAAATAGTACTCAAGCTATAGGCTTTTGAAAAATTCAAAGTAGAAAAAGTACCACTTCCGGTTATCGGAAATCGCTCAAAAGTTGATCAGGATCTACGATTTTGATAAAATACTTAAATATAAAATTTCATCAACCTAGCTGTAACGGTACTCAAGTTATCGTGTGTATACACAGACAGACAAGATTGCAAAATTATGTTTTTCCGTATCAGTGAGGTGTAAAACGTCGAGATTTGTAAAATCTTGATTTTTTTTTTTGCACGATTACAAGACTTTCTCTATACGAGAAAGTAAAAAGGCAAGTTTACTGGAGAGTAATACTAGCACTTTATATGTTTGGCACATATTATCAAAACATCACATCTACTGCTTGAGAACCCATATTAACAGGTTGAGCTGCAGTTTAGCTAAATAATTTTTAACTGCTGGAACTGTTGCTTGTAAATCTTTTACAAGACAGTACACTTTTCTTAGCAGACCAGACCACAACACAATGCAGTTTGTAAAATTGTGAACTGTGAACATAATACAAAAAATATCAGATGTGGACTTTCACCTGAAAAATTTTATCAGCATCCTCTCCTAGCTCTGGGCAGTCCTCTATTAACACGCCTGTCTCTTTTGTCTAGGAGTAAACAGATTTTTTTTTTATCATGATATGCAAAGCATTCATCTTTAAAATTATGATACAATGAATACTTTAAACTAACTTAAGTTATGCATGGAACTGAGTGTTCATCCCTTTTCCTGGCGACTGGGTGTAATCCACCCGTAGACACTATATTTTTGCTCATATCTCATCCAATTTTATAAATTTTTATCAGCATCATTAGGGTAATTGGAATGAGCACATTTGAGGGTGAAAATTCAAACACAAGTGTGAGTATTTATTTAAATATGAATGTGTTTGTTTATTTAAACATGAACCTTCGTGTGTATTTAATTACAGTGGTGTTTATTTAATGAGAAATATCAGTGTTTACTTAATTACAAAACTGAGTGCTCATTTAATTATAAACACGTTTTTTTTTACTTAACAAGCTGAGTACTAATTTAATTATAAAAAAATTGTGGTTTATTTAATTACAAAACCTAGTTCTCATTTAAATATAAACACGTGTATATTTAAATATTAACGCACAAAGGTTTATTTTATTACAAAATCTAGTTCTCATTTAAATATAAACACGTGTTTATTTAAATATAAACACAAGTGTTTATTTTATTACAAAACCTAATTCTCTTTTAAATATAAACACAAGTGTTTATTTAAATATAAACACGTGTATATTTAAATATAAACACAAAGGTTTATTTAATTACAAAACTGACATCTCATTTAAATAAAAACACAAGCATATTCCAAGCACTGGTGTTTATCTAAAGACAAACCTGAGTGTAGGAACGCCAATCAAAGTTGCCACTGCCAATGTACACGTGTTGCTGGTCAACAATCCACATCTTGGTGTGTAGGACACCAGCGCCAACCAGGGCAGTGAAGTTCAAGGTCCTGACTTCTGCTCCAACTGTTCAATGGTAAACTTGTGTAAACATCGCATTGTAACATAAATGTGACACTAATGTAAACATCACATTGTAAAGCTAATGTAAACATCACATTGTAACACTAATGTAAACATCACATTGTAACACTAACATTGTAACACTAATGTAAACATAACATTGTAACACTAACATTGTAACACTAATGTAAACATAACATTGTAACACTAACATTGTAACACTAATGTAAACATCACATTGTAACACTAATGTAAACATATTGTAACACTAATGTAAACATCACATTGTAACACTAATGTAAACATATTGTAACACTAATGTAAACATCACATTGTAACACTAATGTAAACATATTGTAACACTAATGTAAACATCACATGGTAACACTAATGTAAACATATTGTAACACTAACATTGTAACACTAATGTAAACATCACATGGTAACACTAATGTAAACATATTGTAACACTAACATTGTAACACTAATGTAAACATCACATTGTAACACTAATGTAAACATCACATTGTAACATTAATGTAAACATTATCACATTGTAACACTAATGTAAACATCACATTGTAACACTAATGTACACATCACATTGTAACACTAATGTAAACATCACATTGTAACACTAATGTAAACATCACATTGTAACACTAATGTAAACATCACATTGTAATACTAATGTAAACATCACATTGTAACACTAATGTAAACATCACATTGTAACACTAATGTAAACATCACATTGTAACACTAATGTAAACATCACATTGTAACACTAATGTAAACATTATCACATTGTAACACTAATGTAAACATCACATTGTAACACTAATGTACACATCACAGTTTAACACTAATGTAAACATCACATTGTAACACTAATGTAAACATCACATTGTAACACTAATGTAAACATCACATTGTAACACTAATGTAAACATTATCACATTGTAACACTAATGTAAACATCACATTGTAACACTAATGTACACATCACAGTTTAACACTAATGTAAACATCACATTGTAACACTAATGTACACATCACATTGTAACACTAATGTAAACATCACATTGTAATACTAATGTAAACATCACATTGTAACACTAATGTAAACATCACATTGTAACACTAATGTAAACATCACATTGTAACACTAATGTAAACATCACATTGTAACACTAATGTAAACATTATCACATTGTAACACTAATGTAAACATCACATTGTAACACTAATGTACACATCACAGTTTAACACTAATGTAAACATCACATTGTGACACTAATGTAAACATCACATTGTAACGCTTATGTAAACATCACATTATAACACTAATGCAAACATAACATTGCAACACTACCATTGTAACACTTATGTAAACATAACATAGTAAAACTAATGTAAACAGCACATTGTAACACTAAACATCATCACATTGTAACACTAGTGTAAACATCACAGTATATTTGTTATAGAACGATAATTTCAACATGACGATGTAATACTTATGCTAGCATACAAATGTACCCAGTTTTAAATAACACTAAATGTAATTAACAGTGGAGTGAAAAGAAGACTGAGATTGATAGACTTTATGTTGAGGAAATTTAGCAACAAGTATTACCTGGCATGGCACGGTACAGCGCTTGACTGCCAAGCTGAAAGTCTCAAGTTCGAACCCAGATTTAGGTCAGTAGAACGTTTTTGAGTCCACCCAACTCTGAAGGGAACCTAACTCACTTTAAGGGAAAGTAAAGGTGGTTGGGCATAATTCTGACCACACTTCCTTCATATGCCAAGGTCAAAGAAAAAGTGAACTCTACTTGACTTGCCTATGGACTGTCAAGTTTGAAAAGGGAGCTTAACTTTTACAAAAAGCAAGAAAAATAGAGAGACCCAAAAACATACAGGCATTGAAAAAGATATAGAAATTATTGGAGAGAAATAAAAACAATTTCAAGGGAGAGAAAGTATGTTGTAAATGGCTTATGCTTCAATGAGATTTTAAAAAGTTGAAGAAGAAAAGTAATAAATGTAAAACTCAATGAAGAAAGTTTTTACAAGCAGCAAGATTATCAGTGTCTGCATTGGTGTTGTTTTGCGCTATTTTCACTTTCACAATTTGGCCTTTCACAATGTCAGTCAAGATCCTGTAGATATCTTCACCCTGCCATAAAAAAACAAGTTTTTAAGATATTTTTTTTTCAGGGGACAGATAGAGGGGCAGTGGTTTGAATGTTTACAAAATATTTTTTAAAAATACATTTTGTTTTGTGTAACTTCATCCTTGTTTTTGAAAACATACTATTTCAAAATATCAGTTTTGATGATAAGTAAGTTTGAAGTACGTTTCAAACAATATTGTTTATTTCAAAAATTATTTTGTCATGAATATTTTGGATGATCTAAAATATATTAGGCTTAAGATTAAATCATATTAAACAAAATGTACAATATTAAAATAAAATAAAATAATTAAAAACTGTATTGATTTAAAATTCATGTTGTCTAAATTACCATTTACTTTTTAATTTTTTAAAAGACATTTCACATACAATGCATATTTTCCCCAAGTCATAGAATCTTAGCAAAAGTAAATCTAACTGAAAGCATTTTCCTACAATATGAACACACCAAAATCTACCTGACTACTACTGTTATCATAGACACTTGTATCGTTTGACAGCAGAGTCCAGTAAAATGTAGACAGGTGAATACTTTTCTTTGCCTTCAGAAGTAGCCTCTTGTGGGCTTCATATGTTGACATGAGTATAGGGTCACTTGGTGCATAGGTCAGATTCTCTGGTATGCTTTCCACAAGAGTGAATCTAAATGTAAAAATCAACAATCTTGTAGTGTTTTTTTTTGTGCAAAAAATATCATAAATTAACTATTGTGATCAATTGTAATACACTTTTATTTAGAAATCAGGAAAAAGTATTTTTAGCCCAGGTTAGTTGAATATATAGTCCATAATGGCATAAATGATACCACAAGTTTTTAACCTATTTTAACCACGCACATATCAGTATGCAGTCTTGCTAAAAACTGGGACACACCTTCTTAAAATTATAGTCACACTTTTCTAAGCCCCTTCCCAACTTCAATAACCATAAGTCTAATGATAATTAAAATATTTTGGATACTTTTTGTTATGAATTGCATGCAAAAAAAATTATAATTCAACCTCTCCCTCACATATCTAACACGATGTCACCAGTTTGAATTCCCCCCCCCCCCCCCAACACCATGCCCTTGCCTACTGTATGACAGCAGTTATGAACCACCCAAAATAAAATATCAGTATTGTTACAAATAGCAGCATCACACATGCTAAATCAACTTAAATGAGTCAGCTAGATGCTCTAGATAAGAATCAGGAGACTGATTCTAAAAAACACTAAAAAGAACAAAAGATCATGCTATAAATACAATACTCTTGACCGCTAACCCAAAAGTATTGAGTTCAAATCTAGGTTCAAGTCAGCAGAACGTCAATGAGTCCACCCAGCTCTTATAAGTACCTAACTTATGTTAGGGAAAATAAAAGCGGCTAGGCATAGTGCTGAAAACACTCTCTTTATATGCAGAGGTCACAGAAACTCTACCTCACCTGCCCCCTTGGCCTGTCTGGTTAAAAAAGGGAACTTTCATTTTTTAACATGTTATGTACTAATAGCAATTAAAATTTTAACCCACTTGCAAGTGGTTGAAGATGGGTCTTTGTCATCAACTCTGCATACTTCAGTCACATCAACATACTTGAGGCAAATAATTAGAATAGCCAGCAGAAACCTTTTGTGAATTTGGAATCTTGTTGAAGCCATTTTCCACCTGTCAGAGATATTAATAATGACAACATTAATTCTATGCAAGTCAAGATTTTAGCAATATAAAACAAACAAAAAAATATGCATGAATAACAACATAGATGGATATTAATAGACGAGAAAAATGGCCCGTTGAGGAAGGGTACAACGGGCGCTAGGCTGATAGTGCTGTCTCTTTTCTCTAAACTAAAACCAACCCACCCCCCCACACACCACCCCCACCCCCACCCCCCACCACACACCACCCCCACCCCTCACACCACCCCCTCCACACCCCCAAAAAAAACATGTCTACCGTCCCATTCAACGAAATATAATTATATACTTTTTCCAGTGTCCGCCCCCTCCCAGAAAATTCTCCCCCCGCCCCCGAAAATTTCAAGTACCCCCCACCCCTCTCCGGGGAGGAAAAAGTCTGAAAGAAACACTGAAACCAACCCACCCCCCCACACACCACCCCCCCACCCCCACACACCCCCCACCCCTCCACCCCCCCCCCCCCCCCCAAAAAAAACATGTCTACCGTCCCATTGCAAGAAAACCACTTTTTAGATTAGACACATTAATTAGGCGGTAATTTTATTATAGAGTATCGATGAGGAAATTTCTTTTGAGTTGGGGAGGGGGAGGGGGGGGCTCAGACGTTCTTACGGGGGGGGTGGGGCTTCGCCCCTACCCGAAGAATTGTATGCAAGAAACTCTTCATGCAAACCATTTAGATTAGACAAAATTTCCTTTTTATTCAATGTTTACGCGATAATCAATGACGTCATTATATTACTGTGTGCACTTTCCGCCTTGAGATTATTTTCAACTCTATGCTAAATGTGTCGACGTCATACTGCGTTTTTTTAAATACTATGCATGTTTTTAATTTCCTTGTGTTTTCTCTAGAGCGTTCTTGTCAGACAGAGCGTTCTTGTCAGACAGAGCGTTCTTGTCAGACAGACAGCGAAACTATTATTATAGATAAGCAGTATGAAAAGTGACTTGTGGCAATCATTGTAGAACGGCACTACATGCCTTAATGGGCTTAATTAGTATAATTACGTTTATTAACCTATTTGTAGTTTTCTATTTAACATTAATTGATCTTTATTTCACTGGTATATAAATATATAGTTATTTACCAATTGTCTACAGTCTACACTCTCTAGCATCAATCTAATAAGCAAATTTTAAACATTCTAAATAATTAGGCCTATATGTTTAATTAACAACAACGTTATAGTACAAACCCAAAGAGTTGCACTAAATATTTTGCAACTTTACATGAACATAGTACAATAAGTAGATCTACATACTAGATCTAGTCTAGTACATACAGATCTAGAAAACTAGATATCAAATCTATATCCTCTAATTATAAATTAAATGTACTAGGCCACCTATTTAAATTTTATCATTCTGTGTTAAATAAATATTAAATAGAAACATGTTTTATTTGTTTACCAAAAATTTTGGCAAAATGCCTATTAATTATCTAGATCTAGATCTATTATTATAAATATATTATAATAATTTTAATTAGTCACTTAGTCACTGACTTAATCCTAAGTGAAAGTGTAACACTTTACTACTCAAGTTTACTAATACTAGTCTTCTTCACTTGTGTCTTAACTTCCCTATGCCTATGGTATGGCCTTTGTCTATTACTAGATCTATACTAATTACTATACTATAGCCTAGTAGTTAAGTATAGTATTACTAGTATTACTAGATCTAGTATAGTCTATGTCTATGCTATGACTATGTCACTATGATAGTATGATGACTCGTGAATGAGCCCATGTATTAGGCATTGGGCGTGTGGTGTTTACTTAATGACATTAACTACTTCTTAAGTCTTAACGTAGATTTAGTTCGTAGATTAAAATCTAATTCTAAACCTAGAATCTACATATTAACTAAATCTAGATCTAGTTAGACTTTACAACACTGACAAAGTTCATAGAATTACAATGTAAATTACAAATACATGGACTTTGGCAGGAGCACAAAGAGTGAAGATGACACTTAAATTAGATTTTTTTTTTATTATACAAATAGTAATTGGCTAAAAAATACAAAAAGGCGAATTATGTTTGTGTGAGGTTTATTTTGGTTTCGTAAATCATAAAAAACTCAAATTGTAATATAAGCGAAACGCGAAACTTTTTTCAGACCTAAATAATCTCAATCATCTTGATTAAGTTAATAAGTTCAGGAATAATAATAATAATATAGATCTAGATCTAGTCCTATTAATATTAATCTAAAATTGTATGATAGTAGAGATCTAAATATACTAGATGATCAAGATCTAGATTAAATAAAATGAATCAATTTCGATCTTGGATATTAGGAAAAAGTCCAGTTGGCGAATTCGATCAACATGCAACCTTTCCGAACTACGACCCAAAGGAGAGTAAAAGTCTTCAAAGCCAAATCAATAAAACTGACTACCCCCCAAGTGTTCATTTAGATCTCATCTCCTCTAGGAATGTTTCGAAGGTCAATTAATAGATCTACATACATCGATTTTTTTTTCAAACATAGGGGCCTACATATTTACATGCTGTTGATTCCCTGTCCATGCAACAAAATTAATAATTAATACAATATAGGCCTATAATATATAATTTATATATTGTTATATTATGATATTACAATAATTATATATTACTATATTTATAAATTAATAATAGGCCTAGATCTATCCTAGTAAATATTGTATTGTTATAATTACAGGCTTAATTATTAATATATAGCCTATAGTTGGCCTATATATATATATATATATATATATATATATATGAATTATGTTATATATTGTAATAATAATATTATTAATATGCATACTAGCCTAATTGATTTATTATGTGATATTAGGTAGGCCTAATAATATTTTAATATTGATTAATTAGGTCCAATGGTGTTATTTAAATTGAATCCCTAGCAGAACGTAATTCATGCCCAAGCCTCCACCAACAGAAGTGCTTGTTGCATTGAGTAAATATTCTAAACACAAAATGTGGGATGGCTGGCATGGTCAAATGGGTAAGCATTTGTCTGCAAACCCACAAGTTTTAAATTCAGATCCCTGGCTAGAGTTGTAGCATGCCCCTCCGAGTCCACCCAGCTTACGTTAGGGAATACAGAGGTGTAGCGACCCTTCCTGGTGCCCAGGGACATACTTTCAATTTGGCGCCCCCCTCGGGAGCAAATTTTCGATTTGCACCCCCCCCCTTCGGCGCCCGGGGACATATGTCCCCCCCCTCCCCTCGCTACGCCTCTGAGGGAATATAAAGGTGGCAGGGCATAGTGGGTACCACAATATCCCTTCATATGCAAGGGTCAAATAATCAGTTGAACTCTACTTCACCTGCCCAGTGGGTCCGAGGGGAACTTTACTTATGAACTTGGTACCTAACGAAATCACAAATTCATTTATATTATGATTTCACAGGATGGCAGCAACCAACTAGGCCTTCAACAATCACAAGAAAAAACGAATTCATATTTATGGAATTCATTCTCAAAGATAGTACCACTAGCTCCCGGAGATTGCCTTGAATGTAAAATTGTTGGCATTGGTGTGATGATGTTAAGTGGATTCATAATACTTGCCTCAGCTGCAACATCAAGAAAACGGTATTTATTCCAAATAATGATCTTTGTTTCTTCATTTTCATTCCTGTCATTTCATAAATATTATGTTTGTAATTTGATGTTATAATAAAAAAATCTGTAGTGTTATAACATTCATTGGTGCCAGTATTCAGTGTCCAAACCACATTTCAATTAGTGGATTATGATAAAATATTTTATTCTAAGTATAGTAAAGTAAAGCAAGAGCATTTACTTTTTTTATGTTCAAAATTTAGATTTTAATGCAATTTTATTATATTCCTCAGCAATCTTTATACAAGGGGAGCAAATAAAATCATTTACTATACACTTTGTGGTAGTTTATTTCTTGGTGAGAGCTAATTCAAATATATATTTGTTTCTAACATGTTAAATGGATATTCCAAATGTACATTATTTTCTCTTATTATAATTAATCCTGTACGTAAATGTAAAGGTTTTTGCATTATTTTTCAGGTTTTGAAACTATAGCAGCATGCAGGTTATTTGACTGGGGTCCTTTTAATAAAAAAAATACATAAACAGTTTTATTTTTATTTTATGTAATCATGTTTGTGTGAATTCAGGTTATAAAAATATTCAGCCCCTCTAAAAAAAGATTTTAAAAATTAGCATTTTTAAACAAATTGTGGTGAAATACACAAGCAGTGTTGACATTGCATGCTAAAATTTAGCAGCTATAATAAGTGCATAGCTTTTCTTTATTGAAAATATACAGAAAACTCTTCAAAAGGATCAGTTTTAGATGGTATACTACTAACTTTCAAAACAAAATTTCAAGCAGACAATATGTTTATTCTCATAGCTCACTAGATATAAAACAAGCACCTTTTGTTTTGAATATTATTTAATAATAAAACTTGTAATATTTAAAAGAAGCAACAAATGAATACATTTAATATAAAAGTTCTATGCAAAACCTGTTAATTGCACCATTGGCTTTAAACAGTCTTACATTTGATAACAAAATTAGTTCTGTTATACAATAACATCTTAATTATTCTAATTGATAATGGTTAACATTGTGTGAAAGTGAAAAAATATTGCACATAATAAAAATGCTGAGAATGAATAGATATTGATATATTTCATTTAATATACAAAACAACAAAAACAATCACCACTTTAAGCTATTTTTTTGTGAAACTACTGTTGTGAGCTGAAACTATGTGTCACAGATTGCATCTCCCATGGTGCAAGCCATTGTACATATGCAAGATGTTTACCTGTGAAGATTTGTCCCCAACAAAATAATGAAATCTCATTTATTTATCAATCTAATTATCAGGATTAGAGTATTATAAATATTATAAGTACATGGACATTCTGAAAAGGTAACTATTGTGTTAGGAATGTAGTACACTCTAGTATATTAAATTCAGGTTTTTTAACATCTTCACCAAAGGTTGTTGGAAATCGGTTGTAGGATGCTACAGTCAAATGTCTTTTAAGTACAAATAAAAATGTAACAGTAGAATATAAATTGCTAAAGCACATAATCTTAAAAGAAATAAAAATTTGTTTCCACCAAAACTTTTGAATAAAAATGAAAATCAACTTAAAATTATAATTCAACAGAATAACAATGGAAATGGTACAATTCGAATTATGTTCACTGTGTAATCAGGTAGACTACACAATGGTTACCAAGAATACCTCATACAAATTTCCTATTTAACATTTTCATGAGGAGAAAAAACAATAAATAGCAAATTGAAATATCATAGGCAATTTTCATTTCTTAAATCTACAAAAGGATTTTAAATTTAATGTGGAATGCTTCTCTTTATGGGTGCCAAAATTTTACTGACACAAAAACAGATGAAAAGCTAAATCTGGCATCCTAACCACCTAGAAGTCAGCACTGTGCTGATAACTGTATCACTGAGATTGTTTGTCACAGGTCGAAGACTATTCTGCTATCATCTATCTGAGTTATTGACTGAGGATTTTTGAAAGTCTTTGATGACATCTAAAATATAAGAACTGAAATAGAGCAATAAAAAAAAAAATGTTTTATTAAAAATCATTCATGCCTGATTTAAAAAATAATGATTCAATGCTTTGAATATTTCTTTGTAAAATCCAATTTTTAAAAAATCTCTCACAATGATCACAAGTAAAATATTCTCAGCAGATAATGGAAATTATTTTTAAATGATGTTTAATTCAATCACAAAAAGACTGTCAGCCGAATGATAGAAATTTTAAAAATCTAACCCTGCTCTTTTGGCCATTTCAGTGCCTGGCCATCTTGGGCTGTATGGAAAGTCTTTGTGTTTTTCTACATAAGGTTTTCTGTTCTGGTTGTGGTACACAGATTTAAATAAAAATGTAGGATGTTCCATTGGAAAATACAGCGGCAGCTCAACTATAAAAACGAAAAAAAATATATATATAAATTTAAAATATATTTACAAATTAATTGATCTGAGTAAAATATTGTATAAAAGAAATATTGAAACTTAAGCTTTGGTAAATTATTTAACAAAAAAAATTTAAAAAAAAAAAAGGCAAAATTTGAAAAGGTGACAAAAATATCTAAAATACCAAGAGAATGATTAAAGAATAAAATGACAAACCAGTGAAGGTAAAGAAGAAATCATTCCACTCCAAGAGAAGCACAACTTTGGTGAATGTCTTTACATCATACTCTAAAACTGCTCTATGGAAGAATATAAAAGCAGGTGTCATAGGTTAAACAGCTTAGCAGTTTAATAATAAAAATAACACTAATCCCATAAACAAAATACTACTTCTAATATTATTTCTATAAAAAATATACTTTATATGCTAAAAAAAATTCAACTTTGTCACTGGAGCTACTTTTTTTTCAATAGTTACATTATAAATAAGGCCCAAAAAGTAGGAAATAAAAAGTACATTTATTCAAAGTATGATACAACATATTTAGTTTAAATGTGACTTCACATTTTTTAAAATCTGTATTGGACTGTTATCATAAACAATGGCTGTATCTATTCTATGCTACCTCTATCTTAAAGTTTGTGAAAAAAAAACTTATATGAAAGAAAAGATATAAATAACCTCATGAACCTTATCAAACAGTATTAAAAAATGGGTAGTGTTAATATCCTAACAAATTAAAGACAATTACAAGCACAATGGACATTTCGACCCAATGACTTCATCAGCACATAACAGTATGGTTATGACTAGACAAAGAAGACAAACAGTAATACAGTTTTGGACTTAGCTTGACATTGAGCCTTACCAACAATACAAGGAATATTCACATGGTATAATTTTTAAGAGAAATTACTTACTTTCCAAAGTAACTAACAAAAGCTGAAATATAGTCTTTTCTCTTGTCGAATCCATCAGATATAAGCTGTACCTAGTAATGAATAAGGCTTTTATCAACATCTGTACGTTATAAGAAATAAAGTCCTTAAAAATATATATACCTAATGGCTAATAAGGCGTCTATATCTGTAGCATATATTTTCATTAAGCATACCAAAGCAGTAATTAACTATAAAATGTTTCACCATTTATCTTGCAGAGGCCGGGTAATAAAGATTATGTTTATTAATGATGGAATTTTTTCTCATTGCTTTTTATCTTATTTGAACACAGACTGCTGTAAAAACTTCATTATTTGTGATACATTAACAGCCTTTAACTTCAAGTGATTGTAACTCAAACAGTGGTTAGAATACAGCTTAGTGGGTCCCACAGCCAACCCAGCTCTAGTGGGTACCTATCATTAGTTGGAGAAGTAACTGGTATCAAGGTAAAGTGTTTAGAGTCACTATCACTCCTCGTGGCTTAATAAACAGATAATCTCACCATTTTTTACCAGAATTTTTTAAAATTTTGGTTTTGCTCAATTTTTGCGATCATGATGAATGAGAGATTGATAAAAACCTAACCAAAACATAAGAATTATGAAAAATTTACATAAATTATAAAAAAAAAAACACACTCTTTAACAATTAAAAGGTGTATACTACTATACCTGTCTTTTTAAAAGCTGTGTTATCATTACAAAATATTCTCCTAACAAAATCCCTGGTTGAAATATAGGCACTTGTAGTTTACTTGACCCTCCAAATGCCCTGAAATTTAGAATTGAAGCTATTTTCTTTTTTCCTCCATTCATAGCAAGTTATATGATTTAATCTCCACTTCTAATGATAAAGGTAAATATAAATAATGTAGAGAAACTGGAGACATCTCCATTCTCACAATTGGTTTATTATTTTTAAAATTTTAATTTCCTTCTTTTTATTTACTTCTTTAAAATATTTTTTTCTGAAGTCACAGTGCAGTACAGATGCAGACGCCTCTACAACAGGGGACAAAAAACATGAAAACACAGGATTTTAAAATATTATTTCTAAAGTCACAATACATACGCCTCAACAGCAGGGGACAAAAAGAGTTGCACTCTAGCGCTGACACTGTCAGGATAGGGGAACTGGGCATGAAGGACTGCAGAGTCTTGGCCTGGGTTACCCTGAGTGTAATAAAAACAAACTCAGATTTGAATGAACAAAACATGTATCCTAACATCAACTGCATTTTATACTGATGGTAAAGAGTACAAAGCTAGACCATGAGTGGGCTTTATTGATGTGTTCTATTTTCAGGTTTGTTGTTTCATCACATTGGAGAAATCAAATTTGTATTATTGTTATGAGTATACTATTGCTGTTGTTATATTGTAAACTTTGTAGTGTATCTAGCTCACTTTGTAGCTGGGCTTAGTTGCGGACCTTTACAGAAACAAGTGAACTCTAATTCACTTACTCCATAGACAGGGTCAAAAGAGGAAATTTACTACTTTGTTCTGTTATACTGTAAGATTTGTTGTTCTGTTATAATGTAAAATTTTTTGTACTGTATGTAAGATTTGTTGTGCTGCTGGATTGAAAGTAAGCTTTGTTTTTCTTACATTATATAAGAGAGATAAAATATATTGATAAAATACCCTATTCTATACCGTCATCAACAAACTTTCAACAACATCAAACAACAAAACAAATTATATTCAAAAGTAAACAACTTGAATCTTGTACCCAAACATGTATTTGAATAATAAAACTAGAGAATGATTCATTACCTGTTGAAGGTATGCTGGAAGACTGGAGTAATTTAACACTACTTTTACTAGTATATTGGTGACACCAAGACCTCGCTGTGGATCACATTTGATGTGAAGTTAGTGAAGAGTTTTTAAAATTCAGTGACACAATGTAAAAACGACAAATGTAAACTTAAAATATGCTACCGTAAAGTAAAAAAAAAAGGTAAAAATTCTTTTTTGGTCCTAGCCATCCATTGGGCAGAAGAAGTAAAGTTCATTTGTTTCTTGGCTCGGCATATGAAGGTATTATGTGGTCAACACTATGCCCAACCATCTTCACTTTCCCTAACATCACTTAGGTACCCATCAGAGCCGGGTGGACTCAGTGATGTTCTACTGACTTGAACTTGAACCCAGATTCAAGCTCGAGACTTTCAGGTTAGCAGTCTAGCGCTCTACTGCCAGGCCATGCTGTCCCATATATACTACTACCATGAAGGTTATTATACACAACAAGTGACGAGTGAATGAATGAAAAATAAAAAAGATTCTACTTAGTACCTCTGTTCTGTTGATGATTATTTGCATGTCTTTAGGGCTCTCAGCAAGCAGAGACCTCAGGTGCCTCTGTAGGTTAATGTTAGTGCTAGCCCTCTCCAGCTGATACTCTTTGTACAGCTCCAGCAGCTCAGCTACAATCTCAGCCAAACCCTCCTTCCTGCTCCAATCCCAGTTTACAATACTCTGATACAACAACAACACAGAACATAGTTTAAAAATATATTGAATCTACATTATATATGTTTTTTAAGGTAAAAGCTCTAAAGGCTGTACTTATAAAACATGGCACATTTGGTATAAAATAAAAATAAAAATTCAGCAGCAATTAAATACAAGCTTTTGATTGGATGTAAAATTTACTTTTATATTCTCCAATGGTGGATAAAAGTCATCGTCCTCTGCATTAAATATAAAATCAGGGGGTTCTCTCCAGTGTCCAGGGTCAAACAGAACTTCCCCTAAACACAAGTTACACAATTTAGAAAAATCAGTAAACAGTCTTTAAATTTTGTATCTGTTATATAGTATTTAAAACATTTTGATGTTAGTAAATTGTAGGTTTATAAAACAAATATGGAAAGGACGTATTATAGAGTTCTCAAACACAATATAATTTTTTCTCTCTACGATACGAAAAGCTAGTAAATATAGTTAATACATGTTTAAATATTTACATGCAATGCAAATATTTGTGGTCTTAGATGCTAGTTATAGTGATTTATTTCAGCAAAAGCTATATATATTATTTCGTTTTGTAAAAAAAACATAATAAGTCTAAGTTTGTGAGGTGACAGAACAAATGATCTCATGAGCATATTACATAACAGGACAAACAGTCCTAGACAACAGGTCTCCAGGACACAATATTTCAGGACAAATAATCTCAGGACAAACAATCTTAGATAAAAGATCTCATCGACACAATACCTCAGGACATATGATCTCAGGACAAATAATTTAGACAAATGATCTCATTGACACCATACCTCAGGACAAACAATTTTAGACAAAAGATCTCAGGACAAACAATTTTAGACAAAAGATCTCATTGACACAAATGATCACACAAACAAAAGATCTCAGACTAAACATCTCTGGACAAACATTATAATTCTATTTCTGAATTAACACCTGCATCAATTTCCTAACAACTTCTTCCAAGTATTCCAAGTCACTGTTATTTCAAACATAATTTAAATATGTTTATTTCTAATGAAGTAGATCAGATCTAAGCTTACAGAGCAGATATTGTTCAGCATATGGAATTTTCAGCTTGAATCTGTCAACCTTGAGAGTATCATGCAATCCTGTTGGGAAACGCCTGAAGAAATCAAACACAACCGGCATTAATTTTTTTAAGATGATATTTTATACAGAAAACAAAAAACAAAACAAAGATGATAGATAAACTGATTCCCACCATCCAAGGTAAACAAGAATAGACAGACTCTATTGTCTAATATGCATTTAAATGGCATTAATATTGATTATGGTGTTTACAAGAATATGTGGGAATAAAATGCTTATAACAAATAAATTTAAGGTAGCTAAGATTTTATTATTTTTTCTTAAGTGGCACTAAGTATGAGATTTGTACAGAAATATGGCATCAATTGATGAAATAAATTAAAAATGATAGGCCTACTTTTAAATAATGGTCGTTTTGGTAATTAAAATAAATTTAAATAAAACAACTTAACAATCAAATAATTATTCCTTGAATGTGATGAATCATTTAGGCTTAACTAAATTTGAAATCTTCTTCTTCTTCTTCGTTCTTAATTATTAGTGTTGAAGGGGATCGAGATTTATCTGCCAGTGGGTTTCAACTCGAGACTTTGTTCGAATTTATCAACCATGAGCTTTTTGCAGACTCGACCACGCCTCCAACACAATTAAGGATACGTGTCAACTGGTTATGCGCCATTGAGGCCATTGACTCCGATTTCAGCCTGCTTTTCTTTTTGGATTTGCTTCCATAGCCTTTGTCCGACCAAGAACAAACCACAAGGCAGCAGTTGTTTAATTTTGGAGTTGTCTCTCCTAGAAGAGTGGCTGTCCCCAGCTAACGAGCCTCATCTGCCCGAGGGTTCGAACTTGAGACTTTTGCGGTTTAGCAACCATGAGCTTTACCGACTCGACCACGTCGAACCCCTTAAATTTGAAATAAAAGCTAACATCGTATATTACCCTGAACAGGGATCCAATATTTGAAGAGGCTCATTCTTCCAAGTGATCTCCTTTTGCCTCTCTAACAAGAGGTATTTAACATATGGTTGAAATCGAGAGTCAAAAGACTGGAGCAAGTACGATGTTCTCATATCCATTGCTAGCTGCACAGAAAATAGGCTAAATAGAATCTATTACGCTTAACAATTGAGAGTAAAATTAAAAACATGCAGAAAAGTAGCAACAATTACTTCAATTAGGCCTAGACCTAGATTAGGCTGTGATCTCTTTAGTGAGTTATTCAACTGACAAGTTTTTCTTTAGTGGACCCAGTGCACCTATTATTTTATTTTTAATATTAGGCTATTATTAGGCCTACTAGATCTAGATAGGTAGTAGCCTAAAAAATGAATTTTTGAGTATTTTATCCCAAAATCATATGTTAGAGAAATGATTAAGAATTCCATTGGCATTGGTACCAAATTTACATTTCTAGCTATAATAGGAGAGGAGATTTTTTTTCTTTCTATGTATAATGTATATATATATAAGCTCAGTTAAGTTGAAGCAAGTGGGAAACAAAAATGAAAATTTTATAAAATATGTTTGCAAAAATTTTTAGAATTCTAATGATAAATTTTGAAACAGGGGTGGTTTTTTTAAGTGTTTCTGTTTGGTGGTATGCTTTATTTTTAAAAATTTACATTTTTACTATGAAAAAACAACATGGCAGATGAAGGTCTGAATCTTAAAAAATTCTTACAAAATGAGTTTGTAAAATTAAATCACAATTTCTTTATAAAATAAGAACCACAAGTGGTTTATTTAACTCATTTTGTATAGTTTATCTGGTAATCTCACGATATAGCGTAAGAAATTATCCGGCGATGTTTGCTGAGTTTCGTTAACATTCATTACTGTAAAACATAGTTTAAATGCCAGTTGAAACAAAAATCAAGTGAAGTGCATTAAATTAATGTTTTAACTTAATTTAAAGTTTGATTGACATAAAATTAGTAACAATTAATAGATCTAAATATTATTAATACAGTATTGTTTAGTAATTTATGTTTTTTTAAGAAACACAGAAAAAAACTTGCAGAAGATTTAGGACATCTAGATCTAGTAAAATAAGCAGATTAGATTTACTTAAAAGTAGTAAGAATAACTAGAACAATGTTTACTACCAGCAATAATTAGCATATACACTTAAAATAATTAGAAGTACAAAATAATTAGCAAAACAGTATTTAAAATGCAACTAAAATCAATCTATGCACATTTTTAAACATTATGCAGGCCTGTTAAAAATAATATGGCGCCATATAAATGCTGGTTTACAGTATTTCCGAAACGGAGTGCCAAACTACGCCATGGTTTTACTGTTTTTTACTGCTGTACCATTCCGAAATAATAACCTAGACTATATGATATATTATGATTTTACCGTTTATCTAGGCCTATAATCTATAATATCTATATCTATAAAAGTATATGAATTTGTCAATTAGGCCTAAAAAATAAAAATGTAGCCCTATTAAAATATTAATATTATACTAGGCCCAACTTTGTAGGACAGTAGGAGGCCTACCTAAAATATAAACGAGTACTAGATCTCTAGTATTTAAGTATTAGTACTATTATTACTAGATTATTATGTAGATTATTAGGTACGTAAACTTGAAATTTTCGGGGGGCGGTCAACATTTTTCGGGGGGGGGGGGGGGGGGAGCAGACACTAGTAAAAGTGTATGTTTACTATATAAAATCCATCTCATTCGGGGGCGGTAGACTTTCTTCGGGGGGGGGGGGGGCTCTGCCCGCCCGAAGAGATGCCTGGCTGGAAGAAACTCTGGTACATAAATGAAACAAGGAAACATTTTTGTATTTTTCAAAACATATATCCTACTCAAAAGTGAAATAGTTATAAAATTTAAGGAGTCACCTGTTTTTCACATTACTAGTCGCGGGCGATTTTAGTAAATTTTACGTACCTAAAACGATATATTACCGATTAGTCACTTGATTAGTGGTACTACTACTACTACTACTACTACTAAAGGTATAGATCTAGTTATAATAATTATAATTATTTTAATTAATGATATTAAAAAAAGTAGTCACCTAGTGATTTTGTTATTGAACTTATTGATAGTCACCTACTGTGAGTGAATGTAAAAGTTCATCTATAATCTTATTTCTATAACCATATGCCATATACTATATTAACTATATAGTATATAGATCTAGGCCTATTGATTATTAAGATAAATAATGTGATGAAGGCTAATCAAAGTAGATCTATGCTAAACTGGTCCAGTCGTTAGATTTTCGCAGCTGTTTTCGAAAAGCGAAAATAGGAAGTAACATTTTTAGCCTACCGAGAAAAAGCTGGATCAAACCAATAAATAAAGATGTCTAGATTAAGTCATTAGAATTTTAGATTTCTAGATCTATCTATATTTTATTATTTTAAATATTGAATATTATTAACAAATATTTTGGAATTTCTAAAACTCTTCTATTTTGCTGTCAATAAGTAATTTCTTTAAATATTAGGCCTATTTTTTAACTATGATTATAATTATATAAAATGCAATATCTGATGAATCTTATTTTCTTAACCATGTTATTTTTGTAACTAGCGACTTGTTTAAACATGGCGTCGTCCAATGTAAAGTTTTACGAAAGACAGAAAGAATTACAGGATACTATTTCCAACTGGTGAATTCGTTTATCTTTTTATCTTTAAATAAACTTGACTTGATAGCTTCTTTGCTAGAACTCGATCTTTTATATAGATCTAGCTCTTAGACTATACATTTTGAGATTGGTACTTGATGGAGCATAGTAAATTTTTAAAATTATTTTTTTTTTTACAACTGAACTCTACACTTACACATAGACAGTACACAACAACTGCAATCTTATACACACCATACATAAGTTAACACAGTACCTAGAATGTAAAATTGATACCGCACACTGTAGGCCTACTGTTTACGTTTTCTATAGGCCTTAATAAGTTAATTCACCTGATAGATTTTTTTATCTTACTCTTCAGAGTTTGGTATCAACTAATTACTAAGGTTAATAAATGACTACTTAATTAGAAACTTATCACTTTTATTCTCTTATCATATCTAAAAATTGTATTTAAATGCATAACAATACAAGTATTAAGTATAACATTTTGCTTAACTTAGTGAACAGCAAAGACTAACCCTTGAACACCAGTTCAGAAGATCTCTTCAAGCAGACCAAACATCGTAAGTATAGAAATATATGTTTAATTAGATTAACATATAGGCTTATAAAAGATACTTCTCAGTAATACAGTATTTCTTTCTACCCTGTTCAGTGTATTGCACAAATGAAGGAGAATTCATTTGTGTCAATGGCCTTATTATTATAATGAGATAATTTTGCCAGTCTCTGCCTACCCACCTTTACTCTACTTTCCTTAACATAAGTCAAATACTCATCAGAGTAGGGCCATCCTTTGGATGTGAGTTAGCTCTTCAGCCTCAGAACTTAAGATTACTAGTCATGCAATCAATCACAAAGCCATACTGTCTGATCCTCTGTATGCTATAAAACCCCTCACTACTCTTTTGACAAGTCTTACTCTGGTGGGTGGGGAAGTGAGGGTAGAGGACAATAAAACCTAGTAAAGAATCCTTTTTATACCTATGGATCCATTGGGCAGGTGAAGTAGAGTTCTGCATATAAGGGATGGTGTGGTCACCTTTTTGTCCAGCTGCCTTTACTTTCCACATTAGTTAGGTACTCGTCAGAGCTGGGTGGACTCAGGGACGTTCTACTGATTGGGACCCGGATTTGAACTCGAGACTTTTGGGTTAACAGCCTCAGGATAAAACCTAGAAAACTGTTATTATTAAATTTCTGATGTTTTGTTTGTTTCCAATTGGGATCAACTTAAACTTATTTAATCAGAACTTACTTATCATTTGAATAAGATATAAATTTTTAATTGATTAATAATTTGTATGGCTAATGCCATTTTACATATCACTTTAATTTTATGTATTTAAAAAATGAGCCAGGACTAAAATGAAAGCTTCCAGGCTATACACCTACTGGAGAAAAGTTTGTGAAGATGAACGGAAAGCCAAACAAAGGAATGAAATGTTGTTAAGAGATTTCCAAAGAATAGACAGCCACATGTCAGAACTGAATGCCAGAACTCAGAGACTAGCTTTGATGAAGGTGCATTGAAAATTCTATTATTTCTGTCTGTTGTATGTAATTTAGTATGAATTTTGTTACATTGATCAATATCTATTTTTATTCAAATTGTTGTTAAAGATGGAACTCATACTTAATATGATCTTATATACTAATTTTAAAAATCTGCATTCTTTATTCCATTCATGATCATGATTATAGTGAAACTTTTTTTCTATTTGAATGCCGGCCTGTAGAAACAGTATGAGGATTATATTGCGAGTACTTATCCGCAATGGAACACACTAATGTCTGGCTCTTCCCAGAATGTACAAAAAACTTTATCAGATGATCTTCTCAAACCTGAAGTACAAAAGCAAATGCAGGCATGTAAAAGTTTCTTGTTTCTTCTAGGTGCTAAAGCAATATAAATAAACCTTATATTTAGATCTATTAGTCAGCCATCTGAATAGGCCAATTTTTCAGGGACTATTTTAAAAAAAAATTCTTTTTGAAGCCTTTGGTTTAGCATCCTGTTTTAGATGACTATTTAAAAATATTTTAGTCTCTTTAAAGACTGGGAAGTTACAAAAGCTTTTGTCTCAAGTCCATGATAATTTTCTATATAAAGCTTTCAGTATTTAAGACGTAAAATAACATACTAGATGTCTTTTATGTTGTAGCAAAAATTCATTTCTTCCCCTATATCAAAGTTAATTAACTTGTGCATCTATTAATTTAAATGAACTAAATAATCATCTTTGTTTTTTTTATTCTGCTCAGCCTATGCCCGAGAAGACCAATAGCCCACCCCCACCATCACCAATACGCCCACAGGCAGGTTCTAACCATATAAAATCTGGCGTCGAAACTAGACAGCCTGGAACTCCTGAACATCACATCAAGAAGTCAACTATTTCTCACCCACAGAATCAAGGGTCTTCTCATCCACAAAATGAGGGGTCCTCTCACCCTCAAAATCAAGGGTCAACAAAATCCCACCCCCAAAGTCAGGGGTCTATTAAATCTCAACCCCAAAGTCAGGGGTCTACTAGTTCTCAACCCCAAATTCAGAAGTCATCAGAGCCACAACAAACAGGGCAGAAATTCTGTAAGTTTGATAAGTTTGATAAATGTATGATTTAACAATGAAATGATTTAAGGAACCAAGCATCCATCGAAGTTTTTTATTTTATTATTAAATGTTACTTTCTTAGCGCAACACACAGCAGAAGATGTGATGATCAAGAGTGAACGTAAAGTGCAAGCGAAAGAAATAATCTATGCTAATCTACCCAGTGCTACAAAGGATTCTGTTGTGCACCATGACACAGTGGAGCAGAAACCACATTCACCAACCCACCATATTACTTCAGCACAGTCTCAGCCAATCAAAAATTTAGATGTAAAATATTCTGGCCAAATGGTGCCGCCTGAAGAAAGTAAGTCGTTTTTGTGTTATGACCAAATCTGACATTTCTCTTCCAGACTTTTTAATTCTTATCAATTTGTAACTCATTTATTAAAGTGTACGAGCCGACCCGCGGCATATCATACGCCGCTATTTAGTTTTTGTTTTTTCTACTTTTCAGTTATTCATAATTTGTGAATTCGACACTACCAACGCTGCCACTGAAAATATATTTCTTTAAAACACTATAAGTAGCTCGGTAAGGACGATAAACCCGTCCCCCCTCCTTCACCCCCACCCCTCCGTTAAAGTAAACTCCACTTAGTTACCCCCCCCCCCCCTCCTTACGTTTAAAATCGTTTCAAACTAAATTATCTGCCCCTAATAGTCGTCACTAAACCCGGCTGCGTTTGTAATGTTTGTAAACATAAAGAGTGAACCACAACTCACCAGACCATATAGGGGTGGGGACGGTAGGGAGCTCGTTTGCAGCTTGTTTTCTAGCGGCTCCCAGAAGAGAATTATATATATAGATGGGCTATCATCGTGGTAAGGCTAATTTACATTCATAACCATCAACATTCCTGTGGACCCTTATGGAGTACAGGGACACAACCACACCTCTCCTTTGTACTCAGTTCTGGGCAATTTTTCCAAATTGGGCCCATGACATTCTTATGTCTTCTGATCAGTGTTTCTTCCAGACTTTTATCTCCGGGGGGGGGGGGGGGGTAGACTTTATTTGGGGGGGGGGGCGGACATTGTTAAAAGTATATATTTTCTACATAAATTTCATTTCGTTTGGGGGGGGGGGGGGTAGAATTTTTTCGGGGGGGTACCCCCCGAAGAGATGCCTGGAAGTAACTCTGCTTCTGATTCACTTACACCAGACCTTTTCTGAATTTGTATTGCCTATATTCATAATACCTCCATGTTTTTAAGAATGTATATAGATTTTATTTAATTCTACAAATTGAATGGAAATTTCCAGACCTAGCTGAACAAGATGAAGAAGACAGCATGGAATTTATGACTGAGAGTGACCTCCCCATGGCATTGTCCTTAGGCAACACTCAAGTTAAAGCTGACCCACAGAGTGAAGAGCAGAGTAGCTTTAAAAAGTTTGAATTATCCAGGTGATCCTAAATTTTAGTTTACATACATCAGTAATTAATTTTAAAATTTGTGTAAAAAAATTGACTTTTGCTGACCTTGTGGACTTTTAAAAGGGAATTAAGTGGACAGGGGTCCAAAATCCAACAACTTTGTGGGCATCATAAATGGATGACCCTTAATAGATTTAAAATAAAAATATTACAATGTTTTAAATATTTTAAATGTAAAATAGGTTATAATTTTAAAGTTCAGTTCATAGTTAAAAATGTATTACATTATAATACAAACATGAAGAAAACATTGAACTCTTTTAAAAATTATGCAAATTGAAATAAAAGCCCTTTAAAATAATTACTTTGTTTTTAAAATCCACAAAATGATAAACGTAATTTTGTTTTTCAATGTATTAATGACGTAGAATACTTATGTGAGTAAAAATTGAAAGTCTTGATCTAATGTTCTACTTCAGCACCATAAAACCAGAACTCACAGTTAGGGGACTACTAGGCCTGTTGAAACTGATGGAGGCTGATTTAGAGGATGCGTTTTCTCTTGAGGGCTACTACAGGTCCTCCTGGCCTGATACAGCCCAGAAAAATGACATTATCAGGTACTGTAGGTCTTTCAACTGGTATTGTAGGTCTTTCAACTGGTATTGTAGGTCTTTCAACTGGTATTGTAGGTCTTTCAACTATCAGGTATTGTAGGTCTTTCAACTGGTATTGTAGGTCTTTCAACTGGTATTGTAGGTCTTTCAACTGGTATTGTAGGTCTTTCAACTATCAGGTATTGTAGGTCTTTCAACTGGTATTGTAGGTCTTTCAACTGGTATTTGAGGTCTTTCAACTGGTATTGTAGGTCTTTCAACTGGTATTGTAGGTCTTTCAACTGGTATTGTAGGTCTTTCAACTGGTATTGTAGGTCTTTCAACTGGTATTTTAGGTCTTTCAACTGGTATTGTAGGTCTTTCAACTGGTATTTTAGGTCTTTCAACTGGTATTGTAGGTCTTTCAACTGGTATTGTAGGTCTTTCAACTGGTATTGTAGGTCTTTCAACTGGTATTGTAGGTCTTTTAACTGGTATTTTAGGTCTTTCAACTGGTATTCTAGGTCTTTCAACTGGTATTGTAGGTCTTTCAACTGTCAGGTTGTGAGGTCTTTAAACAGGTATTGTAGGTTTTTAAGCTGTGAAGTATTGTAGATCTTTCAAACTAGCAGATACTGTAGGTTCTTAAAGTGTGAGGTATTGTAGGTCTTTTAACAGCTAGTGTAGGTCCTTATACTGTGAGGTATTGTAAGTCTTTAAACAGGAAGTTTAGCCTTAGGTCTTTAAACTGTGAGATACTGTAGGTCCTTAAACAGGTATTATAGGTCTTTAAGCTGTCAGGTATTGTGGGTCTTAAAACTGTAGAGCATTTAGTTGAGCAGATACATTGTATGGCTATAGGAATTCTGTATGACTCAGTGCATAGTGTAAGTCTACACATCATCATCTTATGACATCAAGCCTATTTAGTTGCTCTATTGTTAACATTATTTTTACTTGAATATTCTATAGGTCATATTTCTAAATAAAAAAAATATTTCTAGGCTTAATGTAACACAAAAAAAGGACATTCTGGTTTTTGTTTATCATATTTAACTGCTTTAACTTGAATGATTGCAGGAAAGCAAATGCTGGCCAGGATCTGAGTCGAGTTGATGCCAATCTAATTAGTATGGTCATACTGGAACAGCTGACTCTAATTGCCAGAAACCTCAAAGACAAATGTGTGCTGACAGAGAGTATGTTAGCAGGAAATCTGACTGATCTTTCTCCTTCTAAACTAAGGTGTGTATGGAACACTATTTTATCAGTTTTTAATTTTTGAAAATTTACAGAGGTTTTTCCTTTTAAACGTAGGTGTGTATGGAACTCTGTTATACCATTGTTTGTAATTTTTAATATGTACAGCTCTTTCTCCATAGTTGTATTTGTATTGAATATATTTTAACCATTTAGTTTCTTCTTTAAAAAATGTACTTGATTTCTATTCATAAATTTTAATTTTTAGATTTATTATAAAGGGATAAGCTCTATAATTTGTATTTAATTAACAGTTTGTTTCATTAAGATAAAAAAGTTTTACTCTCTGCTTTGGAAATAATGTATAGAGTTCATGGCCCATTGGAAGATTTATTATTTATGTAACTTTTTTTTTCTAGTTTTTAAATTTATTGTTAATCCAAGCAAAAGCAGGAAAGTAATTTATGTAAAAGTAAATACACTTTGGATTTTCTTGCTTAACCATACCCATATACTTGTATTACTTGTAATAGGCTATACTTTGTTAGGATTAGGGTTATAGGCAGTGTTAAGGGTTATGATAGTGTTAGATGTTGCTTTTGATTTAGAGGTAACCACAAGTACCACATCTGAATTCACTAGTTTTGATGTTTATTGTGCATGTAGGCAGCAGCTGGCTGCTGATGCTGTGGTGGTATGGGATGCTGTGTTTCACCACTTCACACAGCTGGTCAAAGCTCAAGCCCTCAGGCCCAATGAGCTCTCTGCCATTTTCACCCCATGTTTGGTGTCTGATGGAGGTTCTCAAGATAAGGTCAGAGGATACAAATACATGTACACACCAACCACTCTATCCACCAACCACACCATCTAGCACTCAGTCCATCCATTAACTATTCCATACAGCAACCACTTCATCCACCCAACCACTCTATCCACCAACCTCTCCGTCTAGCACTCAGTCCATCCATTAACTATTCCATACAGCAACCACTTCATCCACAACAATCTACCCACTAGACACCCCATCCACCAACCCCTCCATCCACCAACCACCCCATAAACCAATAACCCCATCCATCAACCACTCCATCCACCAACCACCCCATCCATCAACTAGCCCACCCACCAACCACCCCATCCACCAACCACTCCACTTTTTTCTCTCCAGGCTCATCACCTCCTGTGTCACCTACTAGGAGAGATCAATACTTTGCCAGAAAACCCTGTCACCCCTCGCTGGAGCCAGTCCATGATCTCTGGACAAGCATTGGAAGAGTCCAACAGCTTTATGGAGGATGGCAGAGGTAAAATGGATCTTTTTTTTTAAAAAAAAGTTATTTAGGTTTTGGAAAATCTGTGTCGTCAGAGGTATTTATGATTCTGTAATAAAAGGAAGTTGTTATGAAAAATTTTTCTTTTAAATGTCATGCAGTGATTTGTTTATGAAAGTATTTCTACCCATAAAATAGTATTTATAATGTTGTAATGTTATCCCATTAGGTTGGTAGATTCTAATAGTTTTGTAATTTTTTCTGTACCCCCTCCCTCTTATATTGCTAGATTATAATGTAATAGTTTTTAATTTTTTTTAGTGATTCCCCCTCTTCAGTTTCTAGATTATAAATATAATGTAGTATTTTGTTCTTTTTTATTGTGTCGCCCCCCCCCCCCCCCCCCCCACTAGATAGTCATGTAAGCTTTTAATGTTTTCAGTGCCCCCTCTCAAGTTTGGCAGCTTGTTAGATAAACCATTCAGTGATGATGAGTCTAGTTACATGACTAGCCTGCCTAGAGATAGTGTACCATTAAACGGTTGGTTTTTTTTAAAATTTATCCCGTTTTAAAACATAATTATCCATTATTTTTATTTTTAAATTTTTTTATTTTACCCAGACCTGTGATTTACAACCTCAGTTAGCTTGTTTCTTTGTTGTACGCTTTAGTAGTTTTCCATTATTGGCTGATAGGACTGATACAGATTTACAATAATAATTGTACTTCTTTCTGACAAAAATTGACACTGGTTTATTTAAGTCATAATATGCTGCGCTATTAACATTTTAGATTTGTATCATCTGAGATCATGTTCCTGGTGTCAAACTATGTTTAATGTAATAGAAAACATTTGAGAATGCTCGAGGACATTTTTTTCTGAGATCTTGTCAGCAAAAAATAAATGTCCATGGTTATATAATTATAGATAGAAAAAGTTATATGTCATTTTCTTATCTTTACCAAACTTAGGCTACAATGAGCCATTCTACAAACTGCAGTAGAAAAAAAAAATTATAACAGACAATGTATGATTTTGCAGAAACTGCCGCATAGAAAAGTTAAAACATACAAAGTACAATTTAGTAGAAACGGCAGAATCCAAAAGTTAAAACATACAATGTATGATTTAGCAGAGACTGCCACATACAAAAGTTAAAAAATACAATGTATGATTTTGCAGAGACAGCAGCGTACAAAAGCATGGTCTCAGGTCACGCAGCAAACCAGCCTCGCCACCAGAACTCTCTACAGGAAGATACGGATGACGATGTTGAGAAGCAAATCAAAGCAACTCTTACAAAAAAAGTGTAAGTCTCTTACAAAAGAGTTAGTTTAGGTCACATCAGCATTACAAAATAGTATAGATTAAACCACATCAACTCTTCCAAAAAGTGTAAATTTAGACAACATGGCTCATACAAAAAGTGTAAATTTAGACAATGTGGCTCATACAAAAAGTGTAAATTTAGACAACATGGCTTATACAAAAAGTGTAAATTTAGACAACATGGCTCATACAAAAAGTGTAAATTTAGACAACATGGCTCGTACAAAAAGTGTAAATTTAGACAACATAGCTCTTACAAATAGTGCAAATTTAGACAACATAGCTCTTACAAATAGTGCAAATTTAGACAACATGTAGAGGGTGTGGAAGCAGGCGTTGTAACTGAAATAGCAATATAAACATAAAGTGATATTTTCCACACAACTATATTCTGTACCTTTGTCTACCCTTGGCGTTGAAAATATCACATTATGTTTATATTGCTATTTCAAATTTAGACAACATAGCTTGTGCAAAAAAGTAAAAATTTCGACCAAATAGCTCTTACAAAACAGCATACACTTTGTCCACAAAAGCTCAGTTAAAAAAAGTATGAGTGTATTGTGGATCACATTTTAAAAACATTATTTGCTTATTAACTGGTATTATGATAACTCACTAGGCATGGCATAACTCTTTTGTAATTGTTACTGGGCATGTATACTTGGTTATTTCCTCTTATAAGTAAGACTAGAACAATTTCTAGTTCCCAGCCCCAGCAGCAGAAGACAGTGGTGGAGATGGACGACTTCTCAGAGACCAGTTCTCAGACAACCACACAGCAGACCACGCCCCATCTCTATATCCCTACAGCCATGACACCTAGGTTGGTTGAGAACAGTTGTTTCCCCTTAGTTTATAGTTGGTTATGAATAGTTGTGTCCCATTATTCTGTTAATGAATGATAAAAATCTTAACAATTTATTGAACCATGTTGTATCATGTTAATGTTTGTGTGAATGTGGAGGATAAACTGGTGCTAGAAATGATAGTTATATATCTTCAGGAGGGTGGGTAGGGTTGTTATATATATATATATATATATATATATATATATATATATATATATATATATATATATATATATATATATATATATAGGTAGTGACATTGGTAAATTAAACATGTCCTATTTTTGTTGTATAAAATATATACCATGGACCCTTCCTTAAAATCCTAATAAACTTTAAAAAAATGTGATATCATATAAAGAATCAATAAACATAACAAATGCATAATGGATTTTAAATCTGAATGGCCTTACATTATTAATTTTTTTTATTTTTAAGGTCTATAACCAAATAGTTTAAATATAGCCCATCAACATTTTATTCCCCAATGTGTATCAGGGACTCAATAATTAGGCTGCTTGCTTTGACTTGATATTAAGTTCTGTTGCACTAGGTCTTAAGCTTTAAATAATAATATAATTATCATTTATATTTCAGGTCAGCGACAAAACAGAATCTTTCTAGATTTGGTAAGTCTTATCTTAATATTATTTACTTCACTTAGTTAATTCATAGAAAATTCATTTTTAAATGATAAAACAACAATAAAACAAATTACTTTTAAAAAAAATTTAAAATAGTAAAAACTTATTAAATCTTATTAAAACTAATTAAATTATTAAAACTAATTAAACCTTATTAAAACTAATTAAATCTTATTAAAACTAATTAAATCTTATTAAAACTAATTAAATCTTATTAAAACTAATTTAATCTTATTTAAACCAATTAAATCTTATTAAAACTTAAATCTTATAAAACTAAATCTTATTAAAACTTAAATCTTATAAAACTAATTAAATCTTATTAAAACTTAAATCTTATTAAAACTGATTATATCTTATTAAACTAATTAAAACCTTCATGTTTACAGGTGTTAGAATTAGCTCAGACCTTGACACAGATACTGAAGTGGACATTGCTAACTTAGGCAGCAATAAAAAGGAGGAAGATGATTTTGATTTTTATGACTAAGCTCTTAAATTAAATTGGCATTTTTAAATAACCGAATAGTAGGCCTATTACAAAAATTGTATCAGTTATGTATTAAAAAGATAATATTAAAGTAGCCTGATCATTTGAGTTTATGTGTTGTTTTTGAAGATTTATGCACGAGTTGCTTGCCGATGGGAGTTATTGTCCTTGAAACAAGTGCATTACATCTAATGGTCATTTGTTTTTCTTTCCCTGAGATCTATTTCAACACTTAAACTATACTTTTTAAAAATAAATATTCACTGCTAGGAAGGAAAACATTCATATTTTTTTTTACTATGCTATTAAAATCTTAACACACCTATTTTAGGATGAGTCCACAGTTGACACAGTTGTAAAAACTGGAAGAGGGAGGGGGGTGGGGGGAGAGATTTAGAGCCCCATACAACAGCTGTCTAGTGATAATTTTTCAGCTGTTGAAGGACTGTGCCTCACTTTTACCACTAGCTATTGCATTATTTTGAAGTCATGAAATAATTTACCATTCTTAATTTAAATTTGTTATGAAACAGACACACATTTATATATATATATATATATATATATATATATATATATATATATATATATATATATATATATATATATATATATATATATATATATATATATCTTTCTGATCCCTCCTTCCATCCATTTGCATCAAATTACTGCCTAGAACTGAAAAGAAATACTGAAAAAAAAACAACTTAAATTATATAACACTCAACCTTTTCATACAAACACATAGATAAAATCAATGTAATTTTTTTTTAATGGCACACTTCATAAATTTATAACAATCACAATGCATGTGCTCCGCATAAAGTACAGAATCGTAAGTTATAAAGTATTGCTCATGCTTGATTATAACAGTGTATTGAAAACTATCATTGTTATATATAAAATATAATTTAATTACACTTTTTTATAAATCACATAAAAATTGAGCATTACTCATAAAATTGCAACAGAATAAATAGTATTTCATGTATAGGTTAAAAGGAAGACACTTTTTAATTTAAAAATAATGTTAAAACAAAAAAAAAACACAATTTGTGAAGTTGCATAAAAAGAAATTGAGTGAATATGTTATATAAATCACACATGTATAAACAACCAAAAAAAGGCACTCTGTGTTAATTGATTATCATCAAATTTCAGAAATTATTAGACACAGAAGCTTAGCTACTCACTAAAATTACAGCTTGCCATTGCCAAACTTATGGAATGCCATTTTTTATACCCCTTGCCAAACCTATGGAATGCCATTTTTGCCACCTCTTTCCAAACCTATGGAATGTCATTTTTTTATACCCCTTGCCAAACCTATGGAATGCCATTTTTGCCACCTCTTTCCAAACCTATGGAATGTCATTTTTGTCACCCACTTAAGAGCTGTTTTAGTTAGAACACAATTTATACATAATTTAAACATTTCTCATTCATTAAAATAGGGTAATAATTATTTCATTTTTAATGTTTTATATATCAATTTAGTTGTTACATATCCCTAATCATACAATTTGCATTTGAAAACAGTTATTAAATGCCAATAAGATTTAATGAATTGCCTTGTGACAGTGCCATGTAGATTTGGCAGTAAAAAAATTTGAGTCAATGTATACATTTGTTAAATGCTCTTTATATCCTGTTCACTTTGAAAGTCTTAGCTTACAGTGTTGACTTCAACATGAATCAATTATTTACAAACAATTACATCAAAACAATAGGCTTGACTGCTAATTACAAATGAGTGTTAATAATTAAACTTTAGTTGTAAAATACTTTCAAAATAAATACTTTGAGTATTAATAGTTATATGAATCTTTTGGTTTAAAAACTGCAATTTTTTTGTCTTTACATAAAATTAGACTAGATTTCCACAATTTTTAAAACAGAAAAAAAGTTCTGATTAATATAAAAATATTAAAAAATTAATACTGGATTGCAAAAAGTTATGGAAGTATTATTTTGATAACCTTTGCATTAAAAAGAAAGGTTTGTTTTTATAATTATTTTACCACATTCAATGGTAAATTTACACAAAAAATATTGCAGAACATTAAAAAATTGGAAACAAATTAAATTTTTATTAGAGTAGTTTGATCCTTAAATTGTTTAAAGCTAAAAATCCAAAACAAATATTTAAAAAATCTGGCAACATATCTTTGGGATCATTTGATAACAAATGTTTACAATGATTTTCAAATTATGATACCATAAAATTACATTTAAATTCATAAAAACTAAAGCTATACGTACAATTTTAATACACTAGTCACACTTTGTATTATTTTACGTGACCTCTTCAAGGGTTAGTTTCCTTTTCTTCTTATAGTTTTCAATGTCTGAATTATTTGGTGGGCCTTCGTCATCATCACCCAACTCACCCTGGAACATCTGCTGTAGCAGAACCTCAACTTTCTTGCGACCTGAAACAGAAGAGCTACAGTTAGCACAACCAGTAAACACTAGGATTTAGTTTTTGTACAATGCAGGTTCTAAATTTAAAAAAAATGAGTTATTTGGGTGGACATTCTTAATGCTACTCTGATTCTAACCCTGGCCCTAACCTATGCCACATAAAAACATTTTAATAGCCATGTTGTATAAGCACCACAACCCTATCTACACAATCTTTTTTTACAGGTTCTATTGAACATAACTGCCAGTAATTTTAAATAAAAATATTATTAGTTTGAAGTTAGAAATTATTAATTATTAGAATTTAGTTAGAAATTAACATTTTTATTTTATCCATAGTTTAATAGTCTCTGGTAATAAAAAACAGACTACTATCCTAAACAACATTAATTTATTTTTGTATTTACTATTCTATTTTAAATTGAACTTTAATGGTCACAACTAATAAAAAACAGACTATATTCCTAAAAAAAAACAGCACTATATTTTATTTTTCTACTTACTATTCTTTTTCAAATGGAATTTTAGGCCTTTCTCTTTGGAAAGATCTGGCAAGCTGTCTGTGTCTGAGTCTCCATCATCTGGCTTGCCATCTGGTTCATCTGGTTCTGGCTGGATTTCTTCTTCTACCAGCTCAATCTGGTCACCAGATGGGCCTTGTATTGTTTTCTTTTTTGTTTTCCTGGCAATGAGAATTTTACTTTAGCTTTTCTAGCAATGATAATTGCATTTATATATTTTTTAGTTTTCTTATCAATTATTTTATTTTAGCTTTCCCAGCCATGATAATTTTTTAAAGTTATCATAGCAATTATAATTTTACATTAGCTTTCCAGGCTATAATAAATTTATTTTGGTTTTAATGGCAATAATTATTGTATAACTATTAGGCTAAATTTTTTAAAATGCTTAATAATTTATGTAAAAATGTGTATACGCATTTTGGTATCTGGGGACAATATGGAATAAAACGACATTTTACAAGCTTTTATATAGTAGAATATTATAATATGTTTAAAGAAAATCATTTATTTTCTCCTTTTTAGTGCATTATTACATAACAGCTTGTTATTAAAATGTTTTTTGTTAATTTTTTATAAATGCATTTTTTCCCTTATTACATGAAACAGCAGGTCTATACTCAAGATAATTTAAATTTTAATTAAATTTTAATTTACCACAAAAACGTCTAATAAAAGATTATTGCTTACATGCCAATACCAAGACCTAGTTCTTTGATTTTAGCCTCAACCACTGACTCAAGTTTGGGGACAGTTTGCAGTGTGTATTCAAGTATAAAAGCCTCCAGGATAAATGCAGTGAAAATACTGAAATACAGGGGGTTTAATAATAACAGAAACATTCTTTCAAATTTTGTTTTAAAAGTGAGGGAATGTATTAGGCCAACCAATGGATAAATAATAAATTAAATAATTATAGTAAACAGAAAGTATAAATGTAATTACATCTGAATATCTGAAAGCAGCAACTTATAATTAAGAACTAACTAAGCAAGTTAATAATCACATGGTGATGAAATATCAACTCTATACTCACTTGAGAACAATGACTACACAGCAAAGATGAAAGGAGAAGAAGTAAAGCCGGGCTGCCTTGCTTGTAACTGCCACAAAGCCAGATGTGATAAGTACACTCTATGTTAAGGAAGGCCAAGAGGTCATTTTAATTATGTATGTACTTGATATTAAATTCTTTATTGCCCACATCATTTAAAATAAAAAAGTATTTGATGGAGAATCATCATTATTTTTTCCCATTGGTGCACAAGGCACCTGGGGTACTACTTTTTCAATGTGTTAGTATAAAAAATAAAAAACAAAAGCTGAAGGAAATTTCATAATGCTTCAATGGGACAGCTTGGTCGAATGGCAGAGCATTCAGTTGCCAGCCCAAAGGCCCAGAGTTCAAATCTCAGTAAGTACTTGAGGCTGCAGGATGCTCCGGAGTCCACCCGGCTTTAATGGGTAAATGATTCATGTTGGGGAAAATAAAGGCAACTGGGCATAGTGTTGAAGACACAATAACATCATCTACCAAGGTCAAAAACATATGATCTCTACTTCATTTGCCTTATGGATCATTATGTACTCAATGAAAATCATATGATCCCTACCAATGTTCCCTCTAAGGACCAAGAGTGTGTGTGCAAAAAATATGTAGTGTGCGCGGTGCTAAAAATGACTTGGGCAAGTTAATATGTATTTTTAGTCTTGCAATTAAGCATAATAATGAAGGCATGCATTTTGATAAATTAATAGAATAATGTGTGTGACTAATGAAACGTATGCAATTAAATGGAGATACGAATACCATCAAAATAAAAAAAAACCAATAAAAACTTTTAGTTATACTTAGACAACAAGTTATATGGTCGACTTACTATGTTAAAGTAAGACAGTCTTATGGTTATAATGCTAATACGATAACGGTAATACAAACACAATAGTTTAACATATGCAACATTTAATAAAGCTGACTTAAAAACAAATATTAGCTAACATTTCAGGGGCATTTATTGCAATTTCTCGCGTCTAACCTTGCATTGCTTCCACACCTTATATGCTTTGTTTAAATCCACATCCTCTCCAGCATTTAGATATAATTTAATTTGCATTAGATTCTCCAAATGTGTGGCTTCAAGTCTATTTCGTGCTTGCACTTTTATTATGTTAATAAGGCTAAAACCTTGTTCGTAATCAGCACTGCATGCTTGGAAGGTACAATAATGTCACTTAACTTTGCCAGTGAGCTAAATTGTTCTTTGTTTTGACAAATCTTGCATATTCAGACATATAATTTGCAGACACAGATCTGAGTTTTTCACTTTATCGAAATTTGAAGTCGTTGTATTGGGTGGTAATTAACTGATGATTTGTTTATCGTAACCCGTCTTTGTACTTTACGCACAGTTCTTTGATATCTTTGACGCCAAACTCAAATGCACATTTTTTTTAAACCTGTAGAATAAAAAAAGATGACCAAAACTGCAGTTCATCTCCTGGACACCTAACATTTAAATGGTCACAGACTGATTGTATGTACTGTGTTGTTTGCCTTGTGTCGATTCTTTCGTTTAACTCTCACTTTTCTTGGTTTTAATGTTCAGTGTAGTGTTGTGTTACGGCTGTCTCCAGAGCTAAGGCATCACTTACAGTAGGCTGAGTTATTCCATTAAAAACGGTTTTGTAGAATAGAGAATTGACTGGACGAAATTTAAAATAAAGGATTAGCATTTTATATACTGTTATGCCATCAACTATAAGCGTGTGGAATGATGCTGCTCGAAGTTCTGTCAGTATGTTCTTTACAACAACATCGTTGATTACTTGAACAAAGTTAAAGTCGTATTTCTTACTTCGCCAACTGTCTGGTATAGAAACATACTTCACCATGTGGTTATGAATCAGTTGTACCGACAGCATAGAGGCGTTCATCCTTATGGTAAGAAGAACATTATCCGTTAGGATTCGAACTTGATCCTCGTTTGACCGCTGGCGCTCGTTTTGCTCAATTAGTTTTCCTCGCTCAGTGTAAGTTTCAACCAGCAGACGTTTAAGACCAGTTCCATGTGAGCGGTTGTACGAAATCGCAACATTTCCTACGTAAACACGAGACAATAAATGACGTTTACAATAGTCAAGCGCCCATGATTCCCAGAGCTTTCCTGTGACCAATTCGTTGCTCTTGTTGGTTTTGTTACAAGTAGTAGCAGCACAGAACTTACACTTCAGTCCAATCTCATCTGAATATTCTAAGATTCTTTCTAATTCAACCGAAACATTCTTTGATCTGGCGTATCGGTTGTTACTTTAACTTTGAGCCATTCCAATTAAAGGAATCTATCGCTTTTTTTTGTGCCACATTGTTGTACTGCTTGTTACACACATTTTTTCCTCAACAATTTTAAATAGCACACAGTAGTGGACTTTTATTCCTGATTTACCTAAGCAGTGTGTGCATACTAAAACATTTCGATCCACATGCACGTAATAATCCCAAGAATCGGATTTATAATATATAAATCTTTAAACCAAACAGAGCAAAAACATCCACCTTAAGTAACGTAAAACTTGCATCTGACTTGGCTTAATCGTCAAAGTTTCAAGATGAGGGGGAGGGGGGGGGGGGGAAGGCAAGCGACGATTAAAAAAAACGTGCAGGGTCAGCTTCAATTCACAATACAATGCAGGTATTAGATGTCAGCTACGGGTCAGTTTTTGGGTAAACCATTAAATCAAGAAATGGGAGTGTCACACAGCCCCGCTCAGGTGAGAGTTAAGTCATAAACTAGACCTGTGCTATGACAACCGAGGTCGTCCCCCCCCCCACCCATAACCGTAGTTTCTGTTTATACCCCAAAACACAAAGACTGTTCGTTTAACAAAACAGGCACTAAAAATGTCGCTTAATTCAAGCCACTGGCCACAATTAGGCTAGCCCGACGTTCTGATAATCTGTGCGCGGGGTCTGAAAATGTCTGCGCGGCACATTTGAAAGTACTGCGCGGCCGCGCAGCCGCGCAGCTTAGAGGGAACACTGATCCCTACTACATCTGCCCCATGGGTTGTTAGGTCTGAGAAGGGAACTTTACATTTGTACTCATTGAAAAGCATAAACCATTAAAATGTAGCTATTTTTAGAAAAAGGATATCATGCCATTGGTTGACAACAGTCAGTTCAAACATGACGACCAAAGCTTTGAGAATATCATTGAAGTTGTTGTTGCAATAGTGCTCGTGGTAGAAGACAGAGTTATTCAGCTTGATGTTGCCACAGAACAGGTTTTCAGTCTTGACCTCTGAACCATAGCCATAGTAATTTATATACCCATGGAAGATTTCGATGCCAATTATGGCAAAAAAATAGTAGAAAACCTAAGGATTTAAAGATAAGTGAAAAATTTGAAATGTGAAGAACAAAGGTTCGTACATTAATAATATCATACATTTGGCCAGAATTTTGTATATAATTTTTACAACACAAAACAATAGGGTTGTTTAGAAAATGTAAAAAATGTAATTTGTTTACTGCTTGATAAAAACACAGACCTTAACATTGATGTATTATCACTTTGTGCTTGTAAAAATAAAATTTGACAACTTACAAATATAACACCTCCATATGTGACAATTGATGGTCCAATATTTATCAGAGTTTGAAGAATAACCTTAAATCTGAAATGAAAAATTAATTATAAATGAAAAAAAAATATTTGAAAAAAACCCCACAAATAAAGTATTAGTATTGTTAATGCCAAATTTAATCTAGAGCATTTATTTAATCATAGGCTAGTGGTCATATGGTTACTGCAGCTGTCTCACACGATAGAAGTGAGTTCAAATCCAGGGGATTAAAAAATATGGAGGATTTTTGTGCTACATAAAGCTCTGTATATAACTTGAGATAGGACAGTTGAAAACAAGAAGTCAAACAATTGCTTCCTAAATTCACATAAAATCTGCTTCATCTGCTGTTCGATCTCAAAAAAAGAGCATTACCATTTTTAATGCAGATGATATAGAGTAGACCTTATTTTAAAACCATCAAATAAGATAAAATGCAGATGATATAGAGAAGGCCCTTATTGTAAAACCACCAAATAAGACAAAATGCAGATGATATAGAGAAGCCTCTATTGTAAAACCACCAAATAAGATAAAATGCAGATGATATAGAGAAGCCTCTATTGTAAAACCACCAAATAAGATAAAATGCAGATGATATAGAGAAGCCTCTATTGTAAAACCACCAAATAAGATAAAATGCAGATGATATAGAGAAGCCTCTATTGTAAAACACCAACAAATAGGATAAAATGAAGATGATATAGAGAAGGCGCTATTGTAAAACAAACAAATAGGATAAAATGCAGATGATATAGAGAAGGCCTTTATGTAAAACCACCAAATAAGATAAAATGCAGATGATATAGAGAAAACCATTAAATAAGATACAATGCAGATGATATAGAGAAAACCAACAAATAAGAAAATAATTAAGAGACCTTTTCACGCTGCCAAAAATCTTGATCAGCCTCATGACTCTGAGGACAAGTAAAATATCCAGTGTGTTGACCTCTTTATCCGCTGTGGATTTAGGTTTAATTTTTTTATTAGAGGCTAGAAACATTTAGCTAAAACAGAGCAGTTCAGAAAGATAACGTAGAATGTAGATGTACCACATAATAAATAAAATATCAAACTAAGCAAAGTTAGGGATGGCTTAGAACTGGTGAAGATATATTCTAGGGTTAATGATATTAAGTCTCAGCTTTAAATAGTATAATCTTTATTTCATTCGTGCCCAAGATACATAGGGCAGATAAAGTAGAGTTCATCTGTTTCAATGACTTTGGGATACAGAGAGATGGTGTGGTCAGCACTATGCCCAGCCGTCTTTGTTTCCCTTTGTTTGGGTAGATTTAACGATGTCTTACATACTCAAGCCCGGAATCTGAACTTGAGACTTTAGGGTTAGCAGTTGCAAGTGTTATTATTTGACCATCCCATCCCCTTTAAATAGTATAGATAATATGAACCCTAAATGTATATAACACTAGTGAGGCTTTTTAATTATGCTGGTACCACCATATAAGACAGGCAATTTAAAAATTGTGAAGGATTTGAATCAAAGTATCATTGACAACTTTAATTAAACAGTTGTGATACACAACATTTGGCAGTCATACTTACTATTTCCCAGGGCTTTTTCAATAATAGTTGCTATAAATGCTGCCCCAATAACAAACACATCAAATCTGTTGTTTGAAAAGAAAATGGTTTTCAAATAATGATTAATATGCCCATTAAATTGTTTAATATTAAACTGATTATGACTGATTAATAAGTTCTACATATAAATAATCATGTTGGTTTGATGTTAATTGAAAGATGTTGATATATGAATCAGAGGCGTAGCAACCCTTCCCGGCGCCCGGGGACAAACTTTTTGATTGGCACCCCCCACCCCTCGAGATTTTGATTTGCACCCCCCCCCCCCCCCCCTCGAGATTTTGATTTGCACCCCCCTCAACAATTTATTTTTCCAAACCATTTTGGCGCCCCCTAAGGTCGGCACCCGGGGACATATGTCCCCCCCCCCACGCTACGCTACTGATATGAATGTAGTTAGTTTATATTAAATTGAATATCGAATGCAGTGTATACATCATATAAAATATAAAAACAATATGCTAATATATTTTAAAAATATAATATTGTTTAGTTTGTTGAAAAATTAAAAAAAAAAAAAAAAGATAAATCAATAAACATTTAGTTTGTCAAGATTTTACTAGCAATACATCAATTTAGTCTTTTAAAAAAAACAACTTACAGATTCCAAAGCCGTGAAATAAATTCTTTCCCTCCAAGAACATACAGTTTACAGAGGATCTCAAAGGCAAAAATGGACAGGAAGAACCAGTCAGCCACATCCAGGTCAATTGCAATAAACACAGCGTTGACAACAATCAGGAAGTCAAAGAAGTACCGGAACACTCTAGAAAAAAAATGTAAGTAACACGTTTATTCTACTTTTTTTTTTGGAAGTATTTTAAAGTTTTTTTTTTGTTTCTTTTCATTTTTTAAAATAAATAACCCAGTGAACAATGTCTCACCACCTTATCTGTGTCTCACTAATTTAACTGTGTCTCACCACTAACCACTTTAGCTGTGTCTCATCATTTAACCCATGTCTTACCACTTTACCTCTATCTCACCACTTTACCTGTCTCACCATTTAACCCATGTCTCACCACTTTACCTCTATCTCACCACTTTACCTGTCTCACCATTTAACCCATGTCTCACCACTTTACCCATATCTTACCACTTTACCTCCGTCTCACCATTTAACCCATGTCTCACCACACAACCTCTACCTCACCACTTTACCTCTGTCTCACCATTTAACCCATGTCTCACCACACAACCTCTACCTCACCACTTTACCTCTGGCTCACCATTTAACCTATGTCTGACCACTTTATCCATGTCTCCCCACTTTACCTGTGTCTCACCACTTTACCTCTGTCTCACCATTTAACCTGTCTCACCATTTAACCCATGTCTCACCACTTTACCCATGTCTCCCACCACTTTACCTCTGTCTCACCACTTTACCTGTGTCTCACCATTTAACCCATGTCTCACCATTTAACCCATGTCTCACCACTTTACCTGTGTCTCACCACGTATTTGAAATATTCACTGACGCGATGGTTGTAAACAGATGGAAAGTGTTTCTCTAGTAAAGTAAGCCGATCTTTGACCTCAGTCAATTGAACTTGAAGCAGGTCAGACAAATTCAAAAAGTCTTTTTTATCTAGAAAAAGATATTTCAAATTTCAATAGCAGAAAATTCTCTTAATAAATTAAAAAAATAATCATTTAGATAATATTTAATCAATGTTATTAATTTTAAAAACTGAATACGGGAAAAGCTGTATTTTAAATCTGATAAAAAAAATACTTGTAAGAGTTTAGGCTCTATCAATTTTAAATTTCTGTAAGCTCAGACAATGACTTCAATCAGGGAACATTTATTTCTATTTGTTTTTCCTAATAAGTGTGTGTTTATTATATAGACATATTCATCCACAAAAAAAATAATGAGAAAATATTTTCTTTACTTAGAACATTATTATTGTCCTGGTCAAGTATCTTCATTAGCAGGTCAATGAGTGTGTCAGACTTGCCAGGTAAGATTACACTGGCCAACTGCTTCCAGCGAGAGTGTGTGACAACATCTTCGCTGCCACGTTTCACCTTTATCAGGTCAAACGCTTTGGCGAGTTTTTGACGTTTCAAATATACTGCTTCTCTGATTTCATTCTGGGAATTTAAAAAAGGAAAATTCAACCAACTCTTTATAGTGAACAGTACAGTATATATTTATGTAGGTGAAAAAAGCACAAGTAGAGTAACACGCAAACACAAACTCATTATATTAATATAGTTTCATTTGGTCAAAATTCGTGGAAATATGTTTTATTATACTATATTTTACATGTGGTCATTCTTTGTTAATGTCTCTGATTTATGAAAATAAAAATAAAAATCTTGTTCATATCAATTATCCATTGTGCAATTTTCTCTTGAGCTTCTTCTGGAAACAATATATATGGCATAAATTCATAACACCCATTCAGTCTTCTTCTTTGTACTTAATTGTTATATTGAAGGGAATTTTCTCCAACATAAGGAACTAATGCTTGTCAACATGTTATGGCCCAGTGACACTGACTTAAGCCTGCTTTTTTTTCTGGATATCCAACAAAGAACAACGAGTTGCTGTCCCAGCTATTATGCCTCATTTGCAGAGATTCTGAACTCATAACTTTTGGAGTCAACATCATGCACACCTCCAGAGGCGTAGCGACCCTTCCTGGCACCCAGGGACAAACTTTGGATTTGCACCCCCCCCCCTCAAACTTTTCATTTGCACCCCCCCCCCCCCCCTCAAACTTTTGATTTGCACCTCCTCCCCTCGACCTTTTCATTTGCACCCCCCCCCCCCTCAAACTTTCAATTTGGCGCCCCCCCTAAGGTCGGCGCCCAGGGAAAATATGTCCCCCCCCCCCCCCCTTGCTACGCCTCTGCACACCTCTGCCCGACCACCCAACCCCCCACACGTTCAGTATTTTTTTTTAACATACACCCAGTGGGTCATAACAACAGACTATTTTTCAACACTCTACGAACTACTCTAGTCAAATAACAATTAGGCAAATTTAGTGTGTTAAAATTAATGAACTCACTTTGAGGTTTTTCTTGTAGTTGTTGTAGATAGTGGCCAAGACAATGCTCATAAAGATATACAAGCAAAGGATCAGGTACACAACAAAAAAGATGGCAAACCATTTGCTCTTATCGTACGCCGGCATCCTGGAATTCAACAATTTTCATTTTAAAATGATTCCAGTTCTGTTTTTTTTACACTATCAGTTAAAAAACACACTGAAATTTTCATTGCGATATAAAATATAATGTTTATTAAATAAAAGTAGGTTTGTGTGCTAATATCTTCTAAAGTTGTTGACTGACAATTGAATGTGTGTGTATATATATATATATATATATATATATATTTATATATATATATATATATATATATATATATATATATATATATATATATATATATATATATATATATATATATATATATATATATATCCTATTTGAGTTCAAACGCAGCCATTCTTAAGAACAAAAGGAAAAGCTTGATTTATTAATTCTACATTGGTATGAGATAACATATAAAACAACTGTTAGGTCTATTCAAAAACTAATTTAATTTTTACAAAGTATAAATAAAAAAACATTATTTCTTAGTAATCCAGCATTCATCATCTTTTCCCGTTCATGCCCCAGACACATGGAGCAGATTTAGTAAAGTTAATCTGTTTCAAAGACCTCAGTATACATGTGGATAGTGTTATCAGGACTATGCCAAGTCACCTTTGTTTCCTTAACGTGCGTTAGGTACTTATCAAAGCTGGTTGGACTCAGGGATGTCCTACAAACTCAAGCCCAGGATCCAATCTTGAGACGCTGAAGTTAGCAGTCTAGTGTACTATTGCTAGGCCACAAGTCCCTTAACCCAACATTAGCAATGACATGAAACAAAAGCCAACACTTACATAACATCAGGATTATTAGCTGTTGTGACAAGGACATAGAGGTCCCAAATACTGTCAAAATAATTGCTAAAATACGGTTCCCCAGATGGATAGGAGATATTCCTGTTGTGAATTAATTTGACTATTAACATGTATTCATCATTTTCTTGACAATTCCTATTTCAAAACACTTTGGCAAAATTTAGAGCAAAGAAACGCATTTTATACTTTATTAATGATTATGAATAATCTTGCTAGCTACAACTTTACTTTTTTATAATATATTGATTTGAAATATTGTATAAAATAATATTTATATTATAATATTAATAACACACAATATTTTTAATAGAGCAAACTCTGACTTCTTTTATTTTAAAATATAATGTGTTAAGATGTTTAAAAAAATTATAAGAAGGTACTTCAACCACAAAATCAAAATAAAATTTAAAAAAAAAAACAATAGTTCTATTTACATTGCTAAGATAAAGACATAAAACAATAAAAAAATAATAAGAATTCCCACCTTTTTTGAAATAGTTTCAAGGCTAACAAACCAAATAACAAAACACTAAGCAAGAAGACAACCAGCACGTTCAGTATGTCAGGCACTGTTCTCCGTATGTTTCTAAATGCTCTGCGTATCTACAAGTTTCACAGAAAAAGTTATAGTTGCAAAGTTTGTGGAGAATTATAGTTAAGTCCCTTTATTTATCATTACTTATTATAAACAAAATAGACCATTAACTATTAACATAAATATGCAGATGATTAATTTAAAATACAGTATTTAAGCTATATGATCAATTTAAAATATCTTATTTAAGCTATATGGTATGGCGTGCTAGGGTGGCAGAGCATATGACTACTAACCCAAAGATCTCGAGTTCAGATCCCTGGGTAGAATTATGTAGGATGTCCCTGAGCTCTGATTGGTACCTGATTCACTTTAGGAAACAAAGGCAACTGGGCATAGTGCTGACCAAACTATCCCGTCATATGCCATGGTAATTGAAACAGATAAACTCTACTTCATCTGCCCTATATATCGTGGGCATGAATAGGAAAAGATGATGATTATCTTAGCTTTGCTTTGTGTTGATGTACCTGCTTTCCATCAGGAAAATTGATGATAAACAAAGGTCGGAGAGCTCTAGACCATCTGACTGGATGAGAATCTGGAGCAACGTTTGTCCAAACTATGTAGCCTATCATGTCAATCAAAGTCAACTGTAATTAAATTTAAACAGTTTTTAATTTAGATAATTTTAATGAAGTGTAAACAGAAGCTTTGGAATTTTGTTTATCTAACAATATTAATCAGAGTTCTTTAAAATGACACAGTAATTTAGCTTTGATTTGTAATCTACATTATTCTTTTTACAGAGCAATATTTCTTCTAAAAGGGGAAGCACTGATGTTTTAAAAAAGTTACAGTTCTTTCAATCTAAAAAATAATCATTACTATTTTCAGATATTAATAGCAAACTATGTTTCCAGTATACATAATACATATATCTGTTAATTATTTCACACTTTAAATAAGTGTTAATTTTTTTTAAGCACCTATATAAATAAGCTAAACCATCTAATAAAACTCAGTTAAAACAGCCCAATGTTTTAAGTTAAAATGTTTTTATGTCAGCTCTCGGTACTTACTATGATAACTACTAATACAACAATATTTTTGGCATCTTTGAGGAAGACTTTGGAATATTGAAAATAGAAAGCATGAGATAACCGAAATGAAAAGAATCCTAAGCACACAAACTCCATGATCATTGTACCCTGAAAATACAAAAAAGGAAACTTTATTACTTGTATAAACAAATGAAATAGTAAGGGGTAAATATTCTATAAACTCTCTGAAATTAACTTTGAAGTTAAATATACAGGGTGACAAGGTTCAACAGTAGAGTGCACAACTCAAGATAATATTTTCCTGTTCGGGCCCAAGAGACGTGGGGTAATGAAGTAGAGTTCATCTGTTTTAATTACCTCGGCATGCAAGGGGATAGTGTGGTCAGAAATATGCCTAGCCGCCTTTGTTTCCCTAACATGAGTCAGGTACCCGTAAGAGCTGGATGGACTCAGGAACATCCTACAGACTCAGGTCTGGGATCTGAACTCAAGACTTTTGGGTTAGCAGTAATAAGCTCTACTATTCAACCACTCCATTCCCAACAAAAACTACTGCTATCCTGTAAGTATTGAGTTGGCTTTCCAGACTCAAGTCCATGGAATGTAGCGGATTCTGTCCAGCTCTGGTGAGTGCCTGAATCTTAGTTAGGGAAGGTATACCATGTCTGGTGTAGGTTTAAAGTGCAAGAACCTAGCTAACATGGCGTACAAAAGTCAGTTGAAGTATACATAAAGCTGTGCATTTTTCTAATAACAATGATTAGATTATGAAAAATAGTAAATCCTAAGCAGCTTCTCTTATTCACTTGATATATATATTTATTTTTTAAATTTACAACAAAAAAATAAAGTTCTTACCCAGTATGGAAGGGCTGCATTAGGGACAGCAGGTTTTTCAAAAATTGCCAGGATAAGGTTGAAGGCTATACAGAAGTAGAGAGTCCATCGGAGATAAAACTTATTGTACAGAAGGTAGGATCTGCAAAAAATTTATGGGTCATATTATTGTGAGTAATATAAATATTAAAACATTAATTTTGTTTTAAAACACTGAAAATATATATAAATATTTTCAATTTATTTTTGGTTTTAGAATACTGAATTTTTTTTTTTTTTACATTTAAGACTATATTTTTGTCTAATTGAAACCAGATATTTTTCACATCTATTTGAAGTTGTTTTTTTCCCAATAATTTGTGGGTTCATAAAGTTGTTTTTTTAAAGGTATCATTAAACTATTTCAGACACCATTAATATTATAGCATTCACATTAATTGGCTTCTCTTTCTTTCTGTTAAATTATAAAACATTTCATAAATAAAAATTAAACTACACATGAATGTTACCTGACATATTTTTCTCCCAAAATGTAGTCCAGATTTCTGCCAGATTTGGCATCAAGAACTAAAGTGCCAGCAATCAGTAGAGCCTAGTAGTAAACACATATATTATTGGCTACCAATAAAACAGGTCAAGGAAAAAAAGAAAGAAAAAATGTAAAAAAGATCTTTCAATTATGACAGAAATGTAAAAACAACAATTGATTTGATAATGAAAAACATTTAAAGTTAAAATTAAAAATGGAATTAAAAATTTTTCTATAATTCATAAATCTGTAAAATTTTTTTACTATTTTATATATAAGCTTAGAACAATTTCTTAGGATACAAAATATGTAAAACCTCATTTATCATTATCACAATTATTTTTTAAAAGAATACTTGCTGATATTAGCTTATGTAACTGACGTACACATAGAAAGAAATGCTTAGCCTATCATGAATACCTCTTCATCCACAGGCTTCTCCTTTACTTTATGTGTCAGGGTTTCAGGAACATCTTTGAAGCTGACGGATCCTTTCTTTCTTATTTTCTTGCTGGCATTACTTTTGCCAGATCCATCTACATTGTCCTGAGATGGTTTTTGGTCATTATCATCAGATGTCTCAGTTACCACCCCTTCTAGTGTGACAATGGCATCATTCACCTCTGCCATTGGGTTTGGTTAGCAGAAGTTGCAGCGATGAGTTTCTGATTATGTTATGATCTTAGCAGCATCCTCCAAATTTAATACAAACAGTTAAGTTAAGATTTTCTGAACTCCATTTCAACTTGTGTGTTGTTTCCGCATGTGTAGGCCTACTTTTTTTTCCTGTCAACTATAGGCCTATATAATTTAAATATATTAAAAAAATTAAACATATATATTATTATATAAGCTTTAGTAACAGTGATTTTTTAAAAAAAAAAGCCTTTACTAACTTAAAAATAATTTATATAAATTGATTTGAAAATACTGATATAGACCTATGCAGGAGAAGACCATTGTTAATAAATTAATAATTGTTGTGTATTTACAGTATTTTTTTTTATTTTATAGGCCTTAGTCTTTAACCATATCCCTTACTGTCCACATTTCTCGATAAAAATAATTAATTAAGACTTGCACACTGCTTTAGTTTAATTTTTAAATACTAATAATACTAATATTATAATAAATGCAGAAACTTACATATATATTAATTATAGTATACTAATAAAGTCTAATATACTATAGTATTACTATAGTATAGATTACTATAGTACTCATTTATTAAAACAGATCAATTAATAAATGCTTAGGTTATAAAATGTTAATTATAATTAATTAGTAGGCCTAATGACATTTATTTAATAACAGATAGACTAGTATTATTACTATTAGTATTAGCAAGTAGATCTATATAAGTATAAAAATAATAGTATAACAATATTAAATAATAAATAATTAAATATTATATATTATAATTAATTAATTAGGCTATACTATATTTAAATATGATCTAGATCTACAATGTAACAAAATGTATACATTTTTCTAAACTTTGGATTATTTATTATTTTGATTTTAGGCTTATTTTTAATTTTAATGTTTTTGAATTTCAAAAAACATTAAAAAACTTTTTGTTGAATTTCCTGTTTGAAAAACAAATTTTATTTTATTTTTTTATAGGCCTAATTAATAAACTAATAAGTTACAGTATGTGAGTATATTATTAATTAATTAATCAAAAGGAATTACCTTTACTTTGTTTTCTTCATATATCTATATCTATATTAATGTTATGAGTTTAATTATGTTGTAAAGGTTTGCTACACTTAGTCTTTGAGATTTAAAAGGGGAAATTTGTGGAGCCTGCTAGTAGAAGCAAGGGGCGTTTCTACATAGTTTAAGTTTTTACTATTTTCACGTACACAAATAAATTCCGCATTTCTTGTTTTTAAAATACATAGCAACGTGATGAATTATTTTGTAAGCTCACAGGTTCCTAGACTGTACATCATTTGTTTTTGAATAGCGTTGTATATACCATCCAGATTAAAAACTTAATGGATCGAAAAATTACCAACAAAAATAGATCTAAAGAATCTAGATCGAGTAAAAAATAAAATTTAAAAAACCCTTTGATTCTTATGTTTTCTCTTCTGTTGCAGTATTCGCTTGTTTGTTGATGTTGTTTTGGGTCAATTTTTTTTTTTAGCCAAATAGAAACACATCTTGAATTTTTATTAATGTTGAGTTAATACTGTTACTGATAAGGTAGATCTAGCTCTAGCTAGATCAAGGCCTAATTAATTAACTCACGTAGGTAGGTTCTAATCAATCTAGCAACAGCTGGGGAATGGGTTACTGTTGGGGAGGGGAAGAGAGGGGAGAAAGAGCAAGGTGAAGGGTAGGCTAAAGGTCGTGTAAATAAGCTGAAGCAAATTTGAGTGTGTAAAGCCATGTGTGTGCCTAGTGTAGTGACTAGTGTGTAGATCTGTGTCGGCGTACGACCATTAGACTAAGTCTTAGATCTAGAGTCTAGAGACTAATAGCTCGACTAGTAAACCTCTAGGCTCGCATGACATTGACAGTATAAATACTACTACTAGATCTAGACTAACTTACTAGTAACAGATTAAATAACTAGACTCTAGTTCTAGATTTCTGACTGGAGCAGTAGCTAGCTACTGGCACTACTGCTACTCCTGGGTCCTGATCTATCTAGATCTAGATATAGCTAACAACTTAAAATTAATAATTAGGGCCCTATTTTTTAAAATGAACTTTATGTTTACTTAACTTAGTGTAGTTAAGTGAAGGCCTACTTTACTACTCCACTACTCAACTAGCTAACTAGCTAGATCTAGTACTAGGAAGTTAGGTAGTTCGATCTAGATGTAGTCGAGAAATTAATGATTAAAGATGTAAAATAAATTCTAGATCTAGAAAATCTTTAATCTAGCAAGGACAATAAATCTCTGGGTCTGGTAGGCCTAATGACTATAGAGTAAAATAAAGTAATTAAAGTATTTAGTTACTAATTGCAGAATATCTCTAGTAGAGTAGTTCTACCTACTACGAGTAATATGTAGTATGAGCCGACCCGTGGCGCAGCATACTCCCCTATTTATTTAGTTGCTTTATTTTCTACTTTTCAGTAATTAATAATTTGTGAATTCGACACTGCCCTTTTACAGATGACCAGTGTTTTTCCAGACTTTTTCTCTCCTGGGGGGGGGGGGGGGGGCACTTGATATTTATGGGGGAGTGGACACTGGTACAAGTACATGTTTTCTATATTCCATTCCACACCCCCCCCCCCCCCCCCGCAGGGATACCTGGAAGAAACTGCAGACCACAATGAAAAGATCAAGCAGAACTTGTTACCTCCCCTTAGTTTCAAATAATTTAAAAGCTAAATTATCTGCCCCCAATAGCTGTCACTAATTTGACCCGGTCCTATGATTGTAAACATTCAGCGTGAACCACAGTTCACCAGACTGTTCTGTTGCGCATGCCTGGAGAGTAAGGGATTGGGCAGGAGGAGGGTTTGATAGTCTGCTGGCGACGAGGTGGTGTCAACGAAGAGAATTATATATATATATATATATATATATATATATATATATATATATATATATATATATATTGATTATTAATATTATAGTATGCCTATTCTATAGGCCAGTATACTAGATCTAGATTTATACTAAGTATACTCAGTATTGAGTATAGTATGCTATAGTCAATGCTCAACAGTTACAGTTTGGCTATAGTAGTAGTATAGTTCATTTACTTATTTGTTAAGTAGCCTACAGTTTTAGAAATAGAAGGCCTAGATCTACATCATGTTCAACATGTGTTAGCTAATTTAATATATAATGTTGCCTTTGTCTGCTTTCCTGCAGGTTTCAAGAACCTCAACTAAACCCACTAGTAGTTTAGCACATAAAAAATGTATAGGCCTATTTCAACTTCATTTAAAATTTAATAAGCCTAAATTAAATAAACGGTCTGCTATTTGTTTTAATATTAAATAAATTAAGGTTAAGAGGCCTAATGCCCTAACTGAGCTAAACTGCAGTCACTATAAAGCTATTAAAAATAAATAGGCCCTAAGCAGCAAATAAACATGAAGAGCTTAGGCCTAATGCTGAATTTCAAGAAAATGAGAGGGTCACACATGCTCAATACGTGGCACTCCTACGTAAAATGGAGGCTTCTACACACCAGTAGTCAAGCACTGACAACAAACGAGCATGAAGTTATGTCAAAGATTCGGAATATCGGAATCATGGCACATATTGATGCTGGTAAAACCACGACAACAGAAAGGATGTTGTACTATTCTGGATATTCAAATCACCTTGGTAAATAACATGTACTGATTTTAAATTTATGTGCGCACTGTTGGGTTCTAGCTCTACAGGTCATAGTATCATTGCAAATTGGGCTATATCAATGTTATCTCTTTGATCCTAATGCTGACCATAATCTTGACCTAAAACACAATTTTTTAAATTAAAACCACAGAGTAATGATTAACAAAACTTTAAAAGCACCTCATTTACAGTATCATAATCTAAGTCATAAGGTTTGTAATGTATAAATATGTATTTCTGTAGAAACTAGACATATATTGAAATAGTTAATAGTTTAAATTGTGAACGTCACACCATGTTACTATTTAATTAAAATTTAAAAATACAATTATATGCAGTTTTATCATATACATATGTAGTACATATATCTGCACTCTTTTTGCAAGCTCATAATAAAAAAATATAGTTCTATTTATTTTGAGTCTTGGCTGATATGAGTTTCATTATTTTATTTTATCAAAGGTGACGTTGATCATGGAGATACTGTGATGGACTATATGGAGCAAGAAAGAGACAGAGGAATCACGATAACCTCTGCTGCCATCACTTTTAATTGGAAAGGAAACAAAATTAATCTCATTGATACACCAGGTAGCTTTTACTGATTGATGAAGGTCATAGCTGCTGTTTTTTTTATTTTTTCATTGGAGAGCTGACACCTAGGGGAAAAACAAAAAATAGCTATTCCACTTTTTAGCACTAATAAGCCTTCTTAAATTGTGCACATCGTACTACATATTTGTTTGCTAATTTGTGATAAACAAATATTGTCATTATATAGATCTAATTAGTTATTTTACACATAGTTTTTTATAGTATTATCAGTATGGAAAATTTTTGAAATGTAATTTTTTTATTACAAGGATTAGATTTTACAATTATTTCTACTTGTCTTATAATTATTAAATCACTTTCTCAGTCACCACTTCATAGTAATTGTTTTTTTTTAAATATGTTGTATAAGCATTCACAGCAGCTTTATTTTGTCTATTGGTCAGGTCATGTTGATTTTACTGTGGAGGTGGAGAGATCTTTACGAGTTCTTGATGGAGCAGTGGCTATTTTAGATGCCTCAGCTGGTAGGTCTTCACTTGTTTTATGGTGATTTAAATTAATTATTCCTAGTTACTAGTTATTATTTTAATTATTATTATTATTAATTTATTTTCCCTTTCTTCCTTTTCTTACTTAACTTTCTCTTTTCATTCTCTAGGGCTGAAATTTAATTTTTTAGTACACTTTATTAAAAACGCAATTATGAAGCATAATAATTTTATGTAAATTTTGAAGAAGTGAAAATATATCGATTTAAATATGGTTTTATTTTCTGTTATTCAGGGGTGGAGGCGCAAACGCTAACAGTTTGGCGTCAGGCAGACAGGTACCAGATCCCTCGGCTGGTGTACCTGAACAAGATGGACAAGCCCAGGGCGTCTCTCAGTATCTGCATTGATTCACTGAGGAACAAGCTCCACGTTGACCCCCTCCTGTTGAACTTACCCATCGGCTCTGGGAAACAATTTGTTGGTGTTTATGATTTGATAAACATGGAGTCGCTGACGTGGAATGATAGCAAGTCCCATGATGGCAGCTCGTTTGAGACGCAGAAGATAAAATTGGACGGTAGTAATAAAGATGAAGCAGCCATTCTGAAAGCGAGGGCCGATTTGATAGGTAAACTGGCGGATATTGACGAGGCGGTGGCGGATCTTGTTTTGTGTGACACTCAGCTTGACCAGATCCCTACTCAAGTGCTGGTCAATGCTGTTAAAACTGCGACGTTGAATCGTAAAATCATCCCGATCTTCTGCGGGAGCTCGTTGAAAAATAAAGGTGTGCAGCCGTTACTAGACGCTATCAACTATTTTTTACCCAGCCCTATGGAGGTGAATTATGGGTTTTCTAAATACTATGGCAGTCACTTGTGTGCGTTAGCTTTCAAAGTGATTCACCATAAACAGAGAGGACCTCTTACGTTTGTGAGAATATATTCAGGGATGTTGAAGTCTGGGGCTCATGTGTTTAACATCAACCGGGCCTTGACAGAGAAAACCACGAAGTTGCTGCAGGTTTATGCTGATGAATACCATGACTTGTCCACTGCTGTAGCTGGCAATATTGTGGCAGTAGCAGGGTTAAAACAGGTAAAGTTATTAGCTTGTAGTTTAGGTTAAAGTTATTAGCCTGTAGTTTGGGTTAAAACAGGTAAAGTTTGGGCTAAAACAGGTAAAGTTATTAGCCTGTAGTTTGGGTTAAAACAGGTAAAGTTTGGGCTAAAACAGGTAAAGTTTGGGTTAAAACAGGTAAAGTTTGGGTTAAAACAGGTAAAGTTTGGGTTAAAACAGGTAAAGTTGTTAGCCTGTAGTTTAGGTTAAAACTGGTAAAGTTATTAGCCTGTAGTTTAGGTTAAAATAGGTAAAGTTATTAGCCTGTAGTTTGGGTTAAAACAGGTAAAGTTATTAGCCTGTAGTTTAGGTTAAAGCAGGTTAAGTTATTAGCCTGTAGTTTGGGTTAAAGCAGGTAAAGTTGGTAGCCTGCAGTTTGGGTTAAAGCAGGTAAAGTTTGGGCTAAAACAGGTAAAGTTATTAGCCTGTAGTTTAGGTTAAAACAGGTAAAGTTATAAGTATGTAGTTTAGATTAAAACAGGTAAAGTTATTAGCATATAGTTAAGGAAAATCAGTTAACATCATATTTTGGGTTAACAGCCAGTCATTTTGGTTAAACAGCTTATAGTTTGAGTTAAAACAGATAAATAGTACGTAGAGATTAATAAATTATTGAAAATGTATATTGATTCTATTACTGAGTAATTAACAAATTAGTGAATATAGTATCCTTTCAGCTCTGATGATACATTAAGTCCAATGATGGAGAAGAGCCAGTGTTTTTTTTTTTCTTCCAGACTTTTTTCTCCGGGGGGGGGGGGGGGGGGGATTGACTTTCTTCGGAGGGGGTGGACACTGTTAAAAGTCTATATTTTCTATATAAATTTAATTCGTTCGGGGGGGGGGGGGGGGGGTTGAAGATGCCTGGAAGAAACTGAGATTTTTTTCTTTGGCTTATAAATAGATTATATGGTCTACAATATGCCCATATGTCTTTAGTTTTATTAGAGTTAGATGCCTATTTTAAACCTGGGTAGACTCAGTGACATCCTGCTAAGTTATAGAGAGTTACAGAATGCAAGAATTATGGGTCGCTAATATTGTGCTTGAACACTCAGACACTAGGCTACAAACAAGCTTGCCAATAGTTTATTTAATAGTTTCCTTAAATATGCTTAGAAAGTAGGTTTGCAGGACTGGTACCTTGTGAAATAATTACCAGCTATTTTCCCAAAAATTGTTCAGACATACACAGGTGACACCATCACAGCAAGCAACAAGACAGCTGAAGAGGCCGCCAGGGTGTACATTCATGAGATGGGACAAAATAAACCAGAAAGTAAAATCAAGGACCTAAAAAAAGCTGAATGTAAGATATATTTTTTTGTTGCTAAATTGGAAGTGTTATGTCAAAATTTATAAGTTCTCACCCCTGAGGCTGTTGGTTATTTAAACACAAGCAACAAAATAAAAATCTGTTTTAAGGGGCAGATTACTCCTATGAGAAGTAACAAAGCTAGTTATTGGCCTTGGATTGAAAAAGTTTTTGTCTATTTTGTTTTTAATTTATTATCAAGATAATTGGCTCTGTAGGTAACTTCATAGTCTATAAGACTTTGATAATCCAATAAAAATATAATGATAAGTTTTTAAAATTAAAATACTGGCTCGTTTCTTTGTGTACTTGAGCATTTCACTTTTCTCATTTTTTTTTGCTGATGATTATTAAACCTAAAATTATAAATCTGTTTAGCTCAGTCAGATAAAAAAAAATGCTAAGGATAAAATGTCAAGTTAAATTTGTATAATGAAACAAGATAAACCACCAACTAAAAATAAATTTTGTGTTATTTCCGACACCTTCACCTTGTAGTTATGACCTTTTTTTTGACCTTGCACAGCCGCAGAAGAAGCAGAGGAAGAGGATTCACTGACCAGTGACATGGTGCCAATCCTGGCTGGACTCTCAGTGCCTGACCCTGTGTTCTTCTGTTCTGTGGAACCCTCTTCTTTGTCCGTCCAGAAAAACTTGGACATGGCGCTAGAACAGCTTCAGAAGGAAGACCCTAGTTTAAAAGTTAGTTTTTCGTAGCTGTTTTTTTTTTTAAATTCCCCATCCAGAAAAATGTGTTCATATTTTAATAGATGGATAAATATAATTGATTCTGTAGTAATTTTTCGCCTTCTCTTTATCTAGTTTAAAAGTTTGTTTTTCGTATGTTTTTTTAAAAATTCCCATCCAGAAAAATGTGTTCATATTTTAATAAATGGATAAATATAATTGATTCTGTAGTTATTTTTCACCTTCTCTTTATCTGAACCTGTTATTTGTTTATTAATTTTTTTAAAAAGTTTAAGTTTAATTATGGCAATGTACTATAATAGTAATAATAAAATTTGGATTATAAATAAATTTTTCCCTGATTTTTCCCAGGTGGAAATAAGCGCTGAGACTGGTCAAACAATTTTATCTGGCATGGGTGAGCTCCACTTGGACATTATCAAATCTCGGCTGGAGAAGGAATATGGGCTGGATGTTGATCTAGGGCCATTACAAATAGCATACAGGGAGACTATTCTAACTGATGCAGGTACTTGATTTTGTTCATTGATTAAACATTTAGAGGAACAAAGGTAGATACAAAAAGAGCTAAACAAAAAATTATTTTTTTATTTGTATCATTAAAATTTGATGAATAATTGATTGCGTTGCAGAGGTAACTCAAGTTTTGGACAAGGATTTGGGTGGGCGCCATCAGTTTGCACACATCAAATTGTCGTTACACCCTGACGTTGAAAACCGTGAATTCAAGCATGTGATCCTGGAGAAATCTGTTGACCACCCTCTTAACATTAAACACAAGGTTCTCAAGGCCATTGAGCTGGGGGTCAGGTCAGGACTTTCTCATGGTGAGTTGGCTTGCTTTTTGGTTTAAAAGTTTTATATGACTTACATTGTTAGCTATCTATTGTTTAATAGTTTTATATGATTTTTTTTTGTTATCTATTTATTGTTTTAATAGTTTTTATATGATTTACATTGTTAGCTATTTATTTTTTTAATAGTTTCATATGATTTATATTGTTAGCTTTTTATCATTTAAGTAGCTTTCATTTGATTTATTTTGTTTACTATTTATTGTTTTAATAGCTTTCATATGGTTAGCTTGTTGTTTAAATAGCTGTTGTATGAAATGTTTGCTTTGTTTATTGTTTTGTTTTCATATAGAAAGTGTGATAATGTTCATATGGTGTATTTGGTTAACTTACTTTTGTTCTAAATGTTTTCAAATGGTATATGTGATTGGTTTATGTTGTATTAATTGATTTTCATATTGAATGTATTGAATTTAATCCAAATGTAAATTTAATAACCTTTCATTTGGGAGTTTAATTTAGCTTTTATAAGTTTATTTAATTATGTTAGCATGGGAAGGAATTTGTTGCTTTGATTTTTTAGTGTGTTAATGTGTTTTTAACATTTGTTTCTCTTCTATTTTCCTTCTTTGTTCTTAATTTTAGTGTTGGAAGGGATTCCCTCAAACACAATTAAGTATACGTATCAAATGGTTATACATCATTGAGGCCATTGACTCCAATTTTAGTCTTCTTTTCTTTTTTGGATTTGATTCCATAGCCTTCGTCCAGCCAAGAACAAACTACAAGGCAGCAGTTGTTTGATTTTGGAGTTGTCTCTCCTATATGAGTTGCTAACAAGCCTCATCTGCCCAAGGGTTCGAACTCGAAGGTTTTTGGTTTAGCAACCATCAGCTTTACTGACTCGACCATGCCCACATTTGTTTCAATATCCTAGATTTTTAAAAATAGATTTTCAAGGGGTAATGTTTCTAAAAGTTGAAAAGCTCTACTAATGTGTTTATTTTATGTGTGCAGGCAGCTACCTTTTGTGTTATATTTTTTTTTATGTGTTATATTTTATACGAGTCGACCCGCGGCATATCATATGCCGCTATTTAGTTGTTTTATTTTCTACTTTTCAGTAATTCATAATTTGTGAATTCGACAGTATCAATGCTGCCACTGAAAATATTTGCTTTAAAACACTATCAGTAGGTCGTTAAGAACGATAATACCCCCACCCTCCTTTCCCCCAACCCCTACCCCCCCCCCAGGAAAGCAGCCTCCTCTTAGTTACCTCCCCATAGTTTAAGATCGTTTCAAACTAAATTATCTGCCCCTAATAGCCGTCACTAAACCCGGCTCTAAGAATGTAAACATTTAGCGTGAACCACAGCTCACCAGACCATGTAGGGGTGGGGTGGTAGGAAGCGCGCTTACAGCTTGTTTTCTAGCGTCTCCCAGAAGAGAATTATATATATAGATTTTATGTGTTATATTTTATGTGTTATATTTTATATGTTCTGTGTGCAGGCAGCCTCCTGAAGTTTCCCGTCATCCACACCAGTGTCCACCTGCATGAGTTCAACAGCCACTACCACACTACCCTCCCCATGGTCACAGCCTGCGCTGCCATGGCTGTCCAGAAGGCTCTCAAATCTGCTGACTCGGTCCTTCTGGAGCCCATGATGGCTATGGAGGTAAGCATCATGTCCGAGTATTTAATATTATCCAATTTTTTTTTTAACTTATTTTTTTTTGTACAAATGCCTTGAAGCTTAAAATGATATCTGTAGCATCATGTCAGAGTATTTAATTATATCCAAATTATTATTTTTAATTTTTTTTTGTACAAATGCCTTAAAGCTTAAAATGATATCTGTAGCATCATGTCAGAGTATTTAATTATATCCAAATTATTATTTTTAATTTTTTTTTGTACAAATGCCTTAAAGCTTAAAATGATATCTGTAGCATCATGTCAGAGTATTTAATATTATCCAAATTTTTTTTTTATTTTTTTTTTTTTTTGTACAAATGCCTTGAACTTGAAATGATATCTGTAGCATTATTTTTTGTTACTCTGATTTGCATAGTTTATTCATGTAATAATCTGTATCTTTCATGTGTTTGTGTCATCTTAAATATAAAGTTACAAACTGCTTATGTAATTCACCCAACTTATTTCCATACTAATACCTTAACCACAGTATAGTCTTCTTGGTTTGTTCTATGTTTAGTATTTCCTTGTTTGTTCTATGTTTAGTATTTCCTTGTTTGTTCTATGTTTAGTATTTCCTTGTTTGTTCTCCCCCCAAGAGTTACACACCCACTAAATTAGACCATTATAGTAGTAGATGTTAACAGTTTAATTGTTAAAAATTGTTAGAGAAAATATTTTCAAGTTACTTGTAGACAACTTTTTCCACAAAAGGTTCAAGTGTTTAAAATTAGCCTATTGTAGTAGTAGATGTTAACAGTTTAATTTGTTAAAAATTGTTAGAGAAAATATTTTCAAGTTACTTGTAGACAACTTTTTCCACAAAAGGTTCAAGTGTTTAAAATTAGCCTATTGTAGTAGTAGATGTTAACAGTTTAATTGTTAAAAATTGTTAGAGAAAATATTTTCAAGTTACTTGTAGACAACTTTTTCCACAAAAGGTTTAAGTGTTTAAAATTAGCCTATTATAGTAGTAGATTTTATTAGTACTAACAGTTTAATTTGTTAAAAATTGTTAGAGAAAATAGATTAGTGTTATCTTTAGGCAACTCTTTCTACAAAAAGTTTAGGTGTTAAAAAGGTTAAACTGTTAAAAATAACCCCAAGCCCTTAACCCCCCCCCCCCCCCGGGTGGGACAGCGTGGCCTAGCAGTAGAGCGCTAGACTGCTAACCAGAGGTGCTCAAGTTTGAATCCTGGTGAAAGTCCACCCAGCTGTGATGAATACCTAACTCATGTTAGGAAAAGTAAAAAGTAAAGGCCTGGGCCTAGTACATTATACGTTCATATGCTGAGGTGAAGAGACGTATGAACTCTACTTCACCTGCCCAATGGAGCGCTATGTCCTAATACAAATCTTTACTTTAACCCCTGCAGGTGACCACAGACAGTGAGAAACTGGACGTCGTCTTATCAGACTTGGGACGCAGGCGCAGCCACATCCTGAACGTGGAGACCAGACTGGACACTAAGGTTGTCACAGTCGTCACCCCACTGCAGGAGCTGTTGGGGTACTCTACGGCTCTCAGGAGTATCACCTCTGGCACTGCCAGCTGCACTATAGAGTTGTCGCACTACGAGAAGATGAGCGAGGAGGAGGCGCAGAAAGTTACGGAGAGGATGGTCGGATTTCACCCATCAACCATGTGCTGATGGTCGGGTTCCACCCATCAACAATGTGTTGAAGGTTTAACAGAAAGGTTGGATTCATGCTGCTACAATGTGTTGAAGGTTTTAACAGTTTATTGTTATTTCTAGACCATGGGTGAAAGCAAGGGTTCCCAGTCTATGGGTCATGACCCCCAGGGGACTGAAGGGTTTTCTAGGGGTTACCAACTTGTTGTCTAAACCAAAAAAAAATGTTTTTTAATGTATGGGGATAAATTATCATCAAGGGTCACTTGCCTTTTATTATAGAGGTCAGCATTCAAAGACATGTAGGAACCTTTGAGCTTTATGTTTAAGAGAAAGAGGGGTTACAATTACTATCTGTGCTGAAGGGTATAATTCTAAGTGAATTCCAAGTTGTGTTACCTGGAGATAAAGGATTATTTGTTACTGTAAAATCCATTATAGAGTTATTTCTTGTGAATAATGTAAAACAGTCTCTTCAGCTTATTTGGCGAGTTTGTACGCAACATAAGAAAAGTTAGTATTCTTTTGTGAGTGTGTAGCTTCTGTATGGTTGGGATATGCAAATATTTTGTTATCCTATTGTTATAGTTTTTATGTCAGCATATTTGGCAAGGTTGTAGACTGTAAGAAAAATTAGCAATCTTATATGCGTGTGTAGTTTCTGTATGGTTGGAATATGCAAATTTCATGTTATTCTATTGTTATAGGTTTTTTAAAAATGGTTAGTATGATAACAAATTTGTACATAGTTTATTTCAAAGAATAAAATTTATTTTTCTTGTAAAATTGCAGTGTTGAAGATTTTTTGTGTAATTAGATTAAATGTATTTTATTATGTAATGCTAACACTTTTGATTAAGTTTGAGAGATGGTAAACTTGTGGATTTATACAGTACAGCTGAGTCATAGTTGCATAGTCAGGTGTAGTGAAGGGCTCGTGGGGGGTGGGAGGGGGAAGACCTAGTAGTGTATTTAAGTCGGGGTGGGGGATAAGACCTAGTCTCGTAGCTATGTTGTGGTGCAGAGGGTTGGAGGCATAAATTTGACATGGGTTGGTTTATATTCATTTTGTCAATTATAATGTAAACACCGTTCCAATATAAATACCTCAACTTAACACTTTCATATGTTGTCATCCATAAGTAGGGTTTACATACTTTTACCCAACTGGCTAAAGACTTTTGTATGGTGTTATCTATAAGTAGGGTTTACATACTTTTACACAACTGGCTAAAGACTTTTGAATGGTGTTATCTATAAGTAGGGTTTACATACTTTTACACAACTGGCTAAAGACTTTTGAATGGTGTTATCTATAAGTAGGGTTTACATAGACTTTTACCCAACTGGCTAAAGACTTTTGTATGGTGTTATCTATAAGTAGGGTTTACATAGACTTTTACCCTACTGGCTAAAGACTTTTGTATGGTGTTATCTATAAGTAGGGTTCACATAGACTTTTACCCTACTGGCTAAAGACTTTTGTATGGTGTTATCTATAAGTAGGGTTTACATAGACTTTTACCCTACTGGCTAAAGACTTTTGTATGGTGTTATCTATAAGTAGGGTTCACATAGACTTTTACCCTACTGGCTAAAGACTTTTGTATGGTGTTATCTATAAGTAGGGTTCACATAGACTTTTACACAACTGGCTAAAGACTTTTGTATGATGTTATCTATAAGTAGGGTTCACATAGACTTTTACCCTACTGGCTAAAGACTTTTGTATGGTGTTATCTATAAGTAGGGTTTACATAGACTTTTACCCTACTGGCTAAAGACTTTTGTATGGTGTTATCTATAAGTAGGGTTCACATAGACTTTTACCCTACTGGCTAAAGACTTTTGTATGGTGTTATCTATAAGTAGGGTTCACATAGACTTTTACCCTACTGGCTAAAGACTTTTGTATGGTGTTATCTATAAGTAGGGTTTACATAGACTTTTACCCTACTGGCTAAAGACTTTTGTATGGTGTCACAGACTGTATTATTATGTATCTTTATTATATTGTGTTTTGCATGAATGAAGAGTACCTGGCTAGCGGAAGGACTGTCTGAGCGATCGTCATGTGTTTTTCCGTGTTTTGGGTGAGATCGCTCATTGACGTAAGGGGAGAGAAAGTGGTGAATAAAAGGGAGAGCGAAAGGTGAACGGGTGTTGTGTGCTAGGACTTGGGACTGGAACGATGGCTGTGAATGTAAGATGTCTCCATGACTTGGAGTCGTGATTATTATTTGTACCTATATCAGTTGATCTTCAAATATGGATGTACCACGGATTTATCTGTACATAGTGTAAATAAAGTTGTCATTTCAAGTTGCCACTGTTGCTCGTGTTCCTGTATGAAAGCTAACCCACAACAACAAAGAATACATGTTGTTACATATGGTGTCAGAAGTGGAGGCAATAAAGGATGTTGCTACATTGTATTACTGTTACTTATGATGTCACAAGTGGTTGAAGAATTGGTGCTACATATGTCAGAAATGGAGATATTACAGTCTGTGGTCTTCCACTGTTTACCAAGTACGTCAAGTTCTTGAAAGTCATCTATCTACACTCAAGTCAGAAGGGTTGCTGTAGTCAAGTCAGACGTTTTGTTCAAGTCAAGTCATCATCGTGATAATTTTTATCACCTTATTTCGATATTGTCTCACCAATGTCGAGTAAATATCGTCTGTGTGTTTTGTTCTGTTTGGATTTAGCTGTTCAAGTTTTTCTACTGTTTGGATTTAGCTGTTCAAGTTTTTTCTATATGGATTAGCTGTTCAAGTTTTTCTACTGTTTGGATTTAGCAGATCAAGTTTATTTTTGTAACTGTTCCTAAACTGTTCCTAAAGATGTCTTATCTAAAACTGGACAAATTTCTACTCTGTAACAGGCTACTAGAACTATTTTGAATTTTTTCAACTTTTTGGAATCAACAAAGTGAACTATTTTTGGACGTAAATATGTACTATGAACTTTTCTTGGATTACCAGATGTCTGTAATCAACTAAAACAAGCCAGAAACCAAGAAAGGGTATTGTAAATTAATTAACATTTATCTATTGTCAACTAATGAATTTATATTTTATGTCATAGAAAATATATCAAAATGTCATGTTTTGAAGAATATCTAGCACTAGCGAGGGCGCAAGGCATTAAGAAGATGAATAAGCAGATAGCCTGGGCAACCAATCGACTTGAAAAAGACATAGAAGAAGCAAAAGAAGCATGGGACGAAGAAACAGACCAACCCCGACGAGCTCATGGAAATGTATTGAGAGAACTAGATGATATGATAGAAATAGTGTGTAATAGATCAAGAGCTATTACAGACATGCATAAAGTAGAAGAAATGTCAGATGGAGATAAAGTAGAAGAGACTGTACAACCAAAAGGAAAGCGGAAAAAAAGAAACAGAAAACAGAGAGCAGATAATAGGGCTGAAACTATGGAAAAACAAGTTGGCCTACATGAACTAGCATATAAACAAGAACTATTAGAAATGAAAGCTATAACAGACACAAATGAACCAAAATTAGAAAGTGAACAGACAGAATTTAAAGCAGAACTTGAAGAAGTAAATATTGGCAACCTTTGGAATGAAGAACAGAGTAACATAGTCCAGGAAGAATTGAAACCCAAGGATAAAACAGAGGTTGAACTTAATAATGATTTAAAGGTGACAGATACATTAGAATGTCTTAAGATTGACTCTTTATTGACTCAAACGCTTGTACACGAGAATATTATTGAAAGTTGTATCGTAAGTCGATCAGAGAATGGCAGTCAAAATGATTTAATAAGCCCATCAGTGAATGGCAGTGATGATTTAATAAGTCCATCGGAGAATGGCAGGAATCATGATAAACTAATGATGATTAATGAATCAGTGAACTTTATAAGCCACAATGAAGAGAACGTACCTATTGAAGATTTACTTCGAAAATTGGAGTCAAACTATAAAGAAGATATACTAGAACTCAAGAATAAATTTAACAAAGAAATGGAGAAATTAACCCAGAAATTTATGTGTGAACTAGAATCAATAAAGAAGCACAAGGAAGTTAAGAAAGATGAAACAATATCTACAAACTACAATGTCAATAAATTACAAACTGACAGTAAAAGAAACCTATCAAACTATGTATACGGTCACCATGTTAATAAAAATGCACAGAATGAAAGTAAAAGAAATGTAGCAAACTATGAATACAGTCAACATGTTAATAAGAATGTCATTAATGTCATTAATGCACAGAATGAAAGAAAAAGAAATTTAGCAAACTATGAATACAGTCACCATGTTTATAAGAAGCCAAAATCTAGATGTTTTTACTGCGGAAAAACAGGTCATTACCAAAATCAATGTTGGCATAGGTTGGCAAATCAGAGAAGAAACAATTATGTACAAAGAAAGTCATGTGGGAAATATAGTAATTTAAGAAAGAATATATCACGTTCTAATGAAAGATACCGAAGCAAGATGTATTATGAAAGGCCAAAGCAATGCCATAATATTTATATTGAGTTGGTTGATGAACCAAACCAACATACACAAAGCAAGATAACCACTGACGTTGTTCAGAAACCAGAGGAGAATATTAAAACAAATGAAGTAACACAAGTTACACGAAATCTAGGAAATGATTATGGTAGCACAGCTAAAAGCTACAATTTGAGGGAGAGATGGCATACAGGTCATCGTCAACTGCACGAGAACGATTACTCATGCTATAGAGGATGCTAAGATAAATTATCAATTGACAGTTTATTAATATTATACAGTCTGTAACTGTAATATATAAATATCAAATAATGTGTTTGAGTAAACATAAATTGTGTACTATATCTAAAGAATGTAAACTGTATTATGTTAAACCTATTCTATACTATTAATTAACAGGGAATAATGTATAAAGTAAAAGTTAGAGACTATTTATTCCGCATAACAATAAGACGGAAGTCTCAATGATGAATTGTATCAGTCGATACCTGTGAAAGGCAAGAATGTTGTGTTGTGACCTAGATATGACTGAAATGGGTCGACTAGGGGAGACAACAAAGTATATTACTCATGCGTGGTAATAACATACCTTGATGATAAGGAAGTTTTTTTTTACCACATAGGATATAGTTATTTAAATTATGAGTTGAATTATGTCTTTGATAATTTCAACTATGTATTATGTTTGGTAATAAGGTCATGTACCAGACTAGTTTGGTAATTTATTACACTCATTTGTCTTGCTTATACTACAGTTACTGGGTAATTGAAATGTTTTTTTCTCCTATGTGAATGTATATTGATGCATTAAATATTACCTATAATGCTTGTACATTTAAAGTTTTTGTTCAAAACACTGACATATTTTAATTATCACTGATATAGTCACTACATACTGTTGTATTTGTATGCACTATAAATTTATGACTACAAGTGCTTAGTCTAAAAATGAATATATTTTACTCTACTTTGAATTGTACACAATTTTTTGTTGTCTGGCACATGATCCTGCCCTACCAATACTGTATTTATAAATTTTGTTGTCTGGCACATGATCCTGCCCTACTAATATTGTATTTATAAATTTTGTTACACAAAATTTTATTCGAAGGGGGGACGTGTCACAGACTGTATTATTATGTATCTTTATTATATTGTGTTTTGCATGAATGAAGAGTACCTGGCTAGCGGAAGGACTGTCTGAGCGATCGTCATGTGTTTTTCCGTGTTTTGGGTGAGATCGCTCATTGACGTAAGGGGAGAGAAAGTGGTGAATAAAAGGGAGAGC